AATTTATTTAATTTAAGATTAGTTGGGCTAAGTCTAGTTTGTCTGGGTTGGCATGCCTTTTGTAAGCAAGGTCCAAGTAGTATTTTGTTACATTTCTTCACAGAGTTGGGTTTGTCTGAACCCCCCCCCCCCGATCCGCCACTGCCGTGGCTATTCCACAATCCAACATAAAGTCAACAAGCAGCTTGGCCTTACAACTGATCAACATTGTCATTCTTCATCAATATATGATGCAATTCCTCTTGCAAGTACAAAGATCGATCTTGAATTCTCTGTGGTCGACATTGTCATTCTTCATCAATATACAGTATGATGCAGTTCCTCTTGCAAGTACAAAGATTGGTCTTGAATTCTCTGCGGTCGACATTGTCGTTCTTCATCAATATACAGTATGATGCAGTTCCTCTTGCAAGTACAAAGATCGATCTTGAATTCTCTGCGGTCGACATTGTCGTTCTTCATCAATATACAGTATGATGCAGTTCCTCTTGCAAGTACAAAGATCGATCTTGAATTCTCTGCGGTCGACATTGTCGTTCTTCATCAATATACAGTATGATGCAGTTCCTCTTGCAAGTACAAAGATCGATCTTGAATTCTCTGCGGTCGACATTGTCGTTCTTCATCAATATACAGTATGATGCAGTTCCTCTTGCAAGTACAAAGATCGATCTTGAATTCTCTGCGGTCGACATTGTCGTTCTTCATCAATATACAGTATGATGCAGTTCCTCTTGCAAGTACAAAGATCGATCTTGAATTCTCTGCGGTCGACATTGTCGTTCTTCATCAATATACAGTATGATGCAGTTCCTCTTGCAAATACAAAGATCGATCTTGAATTCTCTGCGGTCGACATTGTCGTTCTTCATCAATATACAGTATGATGCAGTTCCTCTTGCAAGTACAAAGATCGATCTTGAATTCTCTGCGGTCGACATTGTCATTCTTCATCAATATACAGTATGATGCAGTTCCTCTTGCAAATACAAAGATCGATCTTGAATTCTCTGCGGTCGACATTGTCGTTCTTCATCAATATATGCAATTCCTCTTGCAAGTACAAAGATCGATCTTCAATTACTAATTCACTATTCTCCTTTTCTTTCATTTTTCTTTTCAGCGCCTTGTTTTCTGTAATCTTGTGAAACTTTACCTTTGAAGGACGACCTCTATGTTGTTGTTTTAGTCGTCTAATTGTCCTTCAGCATTCGCCAACTCCTTGTGGACTTGCTCCTCAACAGCTCCTTTTTTCATCTTGTGAAGCTCCTTTTCTTTTTTTCTTAAGCGGATTTAATTTGTAGTTGTCCGTACAGCTTGCCGTTGAAGATACCTAAAAAAGACACGTTAAGTAAATAATATACTGTATGCCCTTCAATAACACAGTGTACATTTAATGTTCAACTGATTGTTCGGCAATCTTCTCTGCAGTCGACAGGATTTCCGGGCCCCCCACCCCCTTTTAGAAAATTTTGGAAAAAATCGATCACCAAAAATGCCTCAGAGGTTATGTTTGGGTGTCTAGAAATAAAAGAAAATTTTTGCGGTGGCTTCCCCCAGACACTCTAAGGTGGTGTGATCTTGATCGCCCCTCCCCCCCTTTACGGATATCTCTGGATCCGCCCCTGGTTGACATTATTGTCCTTCATCAAAATATGCAATTTCTCTTGCGACTGCAAAACTTACTGTTGAATCAACATTACAATTTCTTCACTCTCACTAGTTCCAACCTCAAGACTTCTGGACACGGAAGCTGTTGTAGAAACTTAGAATCTCAGGAACTACTACAGCAGTAGCACTGTAACTTGTAAAGGCTTCCTCACAAATTTCTCAAAATTTCATATTATCAACTGCTCAAGCTAGGTTTCTGTACTTGTTTACAGACCTAATAAAATAAAAAATATTTGATAATATTAATCAAGAGGAATATAAAATGAATAGTAATTCTCTTAAAATTATCCTATGTTTAATATTCACTTTAATCCATTAATATTTAATTATTTTTTTAGATAATCATGAGCTAAAAGTATATTTTAACACTTTAAGTATCATTTAGTTAACTTTTCAAACACATTAGTTTATTTACATCAAAAAATATTGCCATTTATATGTAGCACTTTTGTTGCTGCATATGTTTTGCCTCCCGACAATATGTATACGATGGCGATCCATAGCTAAGCGTAGGTTTTGCTAGCAAAAATACTGCTATGCATCATATTTACACTTATGGCCTTGTTCTACATTTTTGTGTAGGCTGGATTATTCCTTGTTTCGCTTATTTTTTTAAAGATTATCGGAGGAGGGTGGAATACAAATAAAAATTATAAATTTTGTTTTCTTATTTAGCAAATAGTTTTGCTATAATCATCCAGAGGGAGAGAAAATAGAAATAAAATTTTATTGATGAATGTAAAATAGGATGGTTAAACGCTTCAAATTTATATAATTAGGAAGCAATATACATATTTTATCTTGGGTGATTTCAAGGCAGCGGAGGGCGGATTAAAAATAAAGAAAAACCTTTATTTTTTTTTTTAAATTTCCACTTTTTTGTGGCAGCAAGTGTGCTGATTGTGCAAAAATAAAATTTTAATTTTATTCAAAATCATCAGAGTATAAATTGTAGTCAGCGGGTTCACTAAACAATCAGCAGATCATGTTGTCTCCTGCGTTATCAGATCTGCCTTAGCCTTTTCTGATTGGTCAGAATCTATCTTTTGTTTTGATTTCTGTTAAGTTTGTCACCATTTTGGACTTGGACTATTTATTCTTGACAATGTTCTAATAATAAAAAGAACGAAACATAGAATCAATTATGGCCTTGCGTCTGTCGTTTTTTGGAGTTACCATACTTATATTGTATTACATTCATATTTGGCAAATAAACTTATAAAAACTAACTTATAATAGTTGGGCGGCTGGGTGGGGTGTTACCGTTAACACACGATCCAGAAACGGGTTGGCATCAACACGGAGGCGATCCTCAGCAAGTCAGGGGCGCCACCCAGACCATCCCGCATGATCACATGTGTATGGGCAGTTATGATCTATGACGTTGCGCCCTGTAGCTGATGTCACTCTTAACCAAAGGAGGAGGCTGTGTCATGACCTTCACTTGAGATAACAATGTACAACCGATACCACATACAATATACTTACCCTTGGACAAGCAAGCCATGAGTTGAAGGTAAGCATAATGCCTATTATCTCAGGTCATATAGTAAGATGTCGTAAGAGTACATACTACAACCTATATTTTTACCATGGAACTATGTTTTTACTATACTCAGCCAGCTGTTTTCTTCCCAGTCCTATCAGTAGGCCTTCAACAGGAGTGCTAAGCTGCCTGACAATTAATGTCCTGTCTGGCTGAAGTTTCTCTCAGGATGGAGTAACTGTGTGAGGATCCAGGCAGTTGTGGTGCCAGAGGGGAGCTTTGTTTCTTGCTTTATTCAAAATGTTTTGGTTTTGGAAGCTGATTTAGACATTAGAAAACATAGCCTACATGAAGTCATATTATAGTAACTCGATGCCTATCAAAAAGGTAGTAAAAATTCGCCATAATTTGTCAAATAACCGACTTGATTCGCTCCGGCCCAAACCCTCCCCCCAGTCGAGACCATTAGCCCCTCCGTAAGGCAGGTCCTGGCGCCATCACTGGATCCAGGGCGTCCAATCTCCCTGCCTGGCTGTAGAAAACTGAGTAATTTTAACTTATTTTAAACTCTTGTTCTCCAGTATGTGTAAACAAAAATGCGAAAGCAAAGCATTCTGCAAGGAAGGAAAGATTTTTCATTTTATTTCTTTAGGCATGAGCACCAAGGATATGCCAATCAGTGAACTTAATCACTATCCTAAGTGGCATATCCATTAAACGACCACGAACTAAATGGTCCAGTACACCGGGGTAACCCCATACTCTTCTTGAAGGACGTTGAAGTGCACACAAGCCAAAATGTGTACACTGGGCCTACGGATTGATGTCCTTATCTGAGAAGACTAGAATCATTGGCGAGTGAGCCGTTAGAACCAGCACCGATATTATAGCTCAAGGTTACAATGCCCCTGACTTAACCGCTCGGCCAATCAACCCGCACTAACATCCATACAGAGTTCTACAACCGGATGACCTGTGTCCTAAATGTGGCAGACACTTAAAAGACAAATATCGGCGTACTAAGCTACAAACGCACACGTATCAAGAAGTGAACTACTCATGCTATGTATTTACTCTTTATGTTTTAAATTTATGTTAGTTTTTGGTGTAGTGATTCTGGTTATCTTTCATTCAAAGGATGAACTACTACCAATAACATTGGATCTTTTATTAAATAAGTGTTAATAATTTATAACTCATTTGGGACATTGAAGAAGAGCAGCTTGTCGTGGAAGCTGTGTGCTCAACGGTAGATTGTTAAATTATGTTTATGACAGCCTGTCATTAACATAACCTTTGCGTAACATCCTAACCTTGGAGTATGCAGAGTACCATCGTTTAAGTAGAAGTGTTGGGAAGGCGCAATGTGAGATATATAAATCCAAAATTGTAAAGTTGGAATGAAAAATAGTTACAGCCCTGGAATACTTAGTATTGAGATGGTTAATTGTGTTCCAGGCATTCAGTTTTTAGACTTGGTTTTGGGTTATATGTGAAGTGCACTAACATAGATAAGGAATGTGCTTTATACATGGCAGTGTCTTAATAATTATATGATGATAGTCCTAATAATATTGATACTATTCTATAGTATTTATCTTGTGTTGCCGTATTGAATAAAATATTTTTAAAAATAGCTATTGTATTTTATATTTGTTATGATATGATAATTGATATAGAATTTAATTTGGTACAGACATATTCCACGATTTGGATAATGTACAGGTGTTCAAAAATGATTGTGAAAAACAACTACGCTGCAAGAGCAGTAATCTAAACAGATGAACAATGTAAATTTGAAATAATTCACTTAAATAAATTCATGTAAATATTGTTTTTCTAGGAACTGCAGAATATGATCTTGTAGTCATTGGAGGTGGTTCAGGGGGATTAGCATGTGCTAAGGAAGGTAGGTATAGTTACACCACCAAGTATGCCCTAAAAAATTAGCAAGTGATCTTGTACCAGCTGACAAACTATCAATAATATAAAAAAAAACCTTATCTACATCGTCTGCTGACGCCAGTATTGAGTAGAAGAATGAGAACAAACCCCTACTAAATATTACTATTAAAGATTACTACCAGAGGTTGGTGAGGTCAAAAGACGATGAATGTATATTTCAGTAATGACTGGAAATCCCCAAGAATAGTATTCAAATGCACCTTAACTGATGATGCAAATGCTTCATAAAGGCCTTATTGGTTGTTGGTTGCTTGTTAGTGGCTGGTTATTCAAAGACCAGGTCTTATTGTCACTATTTACTTTATTTTATAATTATGGTATGACAACTTTTATCAATTTGTTTTATTTAGAAAGAAATAATATAATATATATTTTTTTTCCAGCTGCTGGATTTGGTAAACGTGTAGTAGTATTGGATTATGTGGCAGCTTCACCAAGAGGTATGGTCAAACATTAATTGGTATGTTCATAAAATAACAATTTAATGATACGTGCTTGCAAGTATGGGAAGAGGGGCCTGTAGGTCTAAGCTGCTGTGTTTCATAGCATATTTTGCCCTCTCTGTGCATACCACTTGATTGAAACAAGAGAGCAACTTCAAGTAAGTCGGCTTAACTGGTGGGTGTCACTGTGTGTGCACTGAAGTGTGGAGATCTCTTGGTCCTCGATTTAATTCCCATCGCTGCTCTTCTTGTATTTCAGCTATAGGACTGATAGCACACAGTCTTTTGGAGGAAATGTTAAGCGTTGGTATTGTGTGCGTTGTGGCACATGTACACATTAAAGAAAGCTGTAGACACTTTAGAAAATAGTAGGGGATTGTCTCCCGGTGTACTGCCCAATCACCACTGAGTCTTCAGACATGGGTTATCTTTGGTTTTTACATTAAATAAATCAATCCATCCATCCATCCATTCTTGACAACTTTGAATTAATATATTGACTACTGATATTTTTCCTACATTTATAAAAAAGTATAAAAGTTATAATATTAGGTAGTTTTAGCCGCACGACGTTAACCTTAACGTTAATGGATGACGTCATAATTTATTTATCTTGCGTTGCAGAGTATGTTAATTTCAGGATTTTACGCACTCAACATGGTATTGGTGGAACCTGCGTAAACGTTGGCTGTATACCGAAAAAGCTAATGCATGAAGCATCATTATTGGGCCATGCTCTCAATGACTCGGTTTACTATGGATGGCAAACACCACAAAATATCACTCATGACTGGTAAGCTTATGTGCTGTACTTGCATATTTATAATGTAGTATGACAATATTATCTCAACAAGAACACCCCTTCAAAAATAATAGATTAGTCTGCAGCACCAAACCTGCTTGCCTGCCCTCAGTGTTAGGTTCTGGTCATCAGAACTTGAGAAATTTCGCTTATAAGTAGTGGCTGATTTTCACTATTTATTTAAAATAAAGAAGTAATATTTTAAAAAGAAAATTGAATTCAATTTTAAAATTAATAAATCAATATACATATTGATTTAATGTTATCCTTATTTTTGTATAGTTTCCGTAAAGTATTTAACTGTAGATCAGTCATGACTTTTTTCACTTTACTGTGTTTTTACAAGTTAAATTGTTTTTTTGTTTTTTTTATGATTCAGGAGTAAACTTGTTGAGAATGTGCAAAATTATGTGAGGTCATTGAACTGGGGACACAGAGTTCAACTTAAGGACAAGTAAGCTGTTTAGTTGGTTTCTCTCTAATTTTTGTGATAAAGCACTCAAAGTTTCGAATAAAGTTGTGTTTTTGTTTTTGAATGAATCATTATCAGCCTAAATATATATATTCTGTTGTCCATTGATATTAGTTTTTATTATGATTATTAAAAACAATTTGCATTATAACTGCTAATACATGGATAGTTGATTGGTAGATAATATAGTTATTAGTTGGTTAATCATTTTATATGTGTAATCTAAAGATTACTGCTTGGAATATTTTTCAGAGAAGTTGAGTACCTAAATGCTAAAGGATCATTTGTTGATGAGAACACAGTGAAGGCCGTTACTCAAAATGGGACAGAAGTATGTAAAAGCTGTGTATTTGTGTTTTCCACTAGGGGCATGATCACAAATTAGCAAGGGAGAAGATCATGTGTCTCCTTCTTTATACTCTTTCTGGATATCCTTCTTGCTAGCAGAACATCTCTGGTCATATGTACCTTTGACAGTAAGAACATTGTTACTTAATGCGAACATAACTTGCATTTTGTTAACAATGTTTAAAAAAAATAACTCAAACTTCATCTCATTTTTCAGACTCTGCTTCGTGCAAAGAATGTGGTAGTAGCAACAGGAGCACGGCCACGTTATTTGAATGAGGTACTGTACTGCAAATAATAATTAATTAATTAATCACAACCATTTATGGCTTCCTTGCAATTATTTAACTTCAATCCCTTTTGATTTATTTGAATGAGGTACTGTACTGCAAATAATAATTAATTAATTAATCACAACCATTTATGGCTTCCTTGCAATTATTTAACTTCAATCCCTTTTCTTATGGAATGATGTGAATATCTAGCTACTATAAGCACCTTTTTATGGCCGCTTGGTGGTCACAGATCATGCCCATACTGCAAGTTATGAGTTATTCTCTTACCTTGACCAATTATCAATATTTTGAATACTCTACTAAATTTGAAATTGTACTTAGAAGCATAACAGCAAAATGATTGCGAGAACTTAAAATGATATAGGTGAAGACCGTCTGTATAATATTAGTACACACAGCATGGATTTTACAACATGTTATATTGTGCAATATGCCCTCTTGTGTTCTTAATTCATTTCGCATATTGATCCTATTATTTTACTGACTTGTATCATTATTTTATGTCCTCATTACAGGTTTCAGGTGCTAACGAATTCTGTATAACCAGTGATGATATATTCTCCTTACAAAAACCTCCTGGTAAAACGTAGGTGTCCAGTGACACTAGAAACTAGATTATTATTGTACTACATAAGAACTGATACTTATTATTGTACACAAACATCATCAAGTGTTTCACATTCTTTGTTGTGTAATTATCAATTATTCTTTTGTAATTTGATGAGGTTTTGTAACTGCAAACTCTTATAATGTTGAAAAATATTTAATTCTGATTTTAAGTACAACTTCCAGGAATTGGCAAAAGTACATTACTCAATCTCACTATCCCTTTACAGACACATTACAGAGGCTTCAGACACATTATACACAGAAACTGAAATTGTCAGTGTATGTTGATTAAATAATTAATATTTTTTTAATTGTGTTTTGTTGTTTCCAGATTAGTGGTTGGTGGAAGTTGTATCCTTTTTTTAAAAATTATTCTGAGTTTATTCTGATGGTGTTTGCCTCAGGAGATATACTAGGATTGATGTTTTGCCCTAGCCACTAAACGCAAGTTTGGTGGTCTAGTGGTGAAGACACCAGGCTAATTATCTAGAGGTTGTGGGTTCGATTCTCATGCAAATGTTGAACAGAATTTTATGTTTGTGTTGTGTTGCTTTTTAGTATTTTTTTTAAGGAACTGTAGTTGACGCAAGTTGTTCAGGTGGTTTGAAGAAAGTGAATTATTTTTAAAAAGTCATTATTATTATTATTATTATTATCATTATCATTATTATTATTATTATTTTATTATTATTATTATATGTTAAATTTATGAATATTTAGACATACTGTCTGTATGTTCCTTAATTACACTATTATCAGATGTAGCTTTAGAGTGTGCTGGGTTTCTTCAGGGGTTGGGTTATCCAACATCAGTCATGGTGCGCTCAATATGTTTAAGAGGTTTTGATCAGGTAAGGTAAATATTTGTATAATATGTGTAATTATTTGGAAGTGTACAGGGCTGGAAAAAGTGTGTGACCTCACAACCAGCGGTTGGAGGTATTTTGGGATAAAAAATATTCAAATAAACTGTTGGGCTATGGTATTTTGGAATAAAAAATATTCAAATAAACTGTTGGGCTATAAAGTGTACAGATCAGTTTTCATGGTCGGTGGCACAAACATTTTTTCCAGGCACTATGTGTGTACTAAGTATATAGCAGTCCCTTGCTTCTGCCACAGCACAGGTATATATTCACAATATCAAATGCAGTAACTAAATCAGTACAGTAGAAGTGAATCAACTGTGTGCAAAGCCATTATTTACAAAAAAAACCAACATCTTAACATCTCATTGAAAGAGTGGGTTAATTAGAATAACTCTTACCATCCAGTGCAAACAAATCATGTTAATTTGCACCATATCAATTATTTTGGAGTGGAGTGGTTAAGATGCTTTCCTTCTAATCCCAGTGTCCAGGGTTCGATTCCTGTCACAGCAGGACTTTTTATCACGACTAAAATTAAAATTAACTCCACTCCCTAAGCCTCATGAAGAGGCTTGGATCATTCTCATCCTGTAATTGGCAAGTGTACTTGCTGTTTGATGTGAAGGAAATAAAAAAAAAATAAAAATTTCTATTACTATTGTTATTTTTGTTATTTTTATTAATTAAACATAAATTTGGAATTGGCAGGTTCTAAACCAGAGAATAGCTCCAAATCTTGCATTCTTTTTTTAGTGAAATGTACCTTTAAATGTGCAATCAAACAATATCCTAAAAGAATTTCATCAAAGATTAATAATTATGTGATGTAATTATGGTTTGAATTTTATATTTATCCAGCAAATGGCCTCCTTAGTTACTGACCATATGTCGAGTATGAATGTTAATTTCATACGATCATCTAGTCCACAAAAAGTTGAACTTCAGGAAAATGGACAGCTATTGGTCACGTGGATACAGTCAGGTGATCAAAAGCAAGATGTATTTGACACTGTCATGATGGCTGTAGGTAAGTGTAGGTAGTATTAATAAAAATAATTTTAGGGCGTTGAAATGTTTTCATCCGACAGTATGGACTAATTCATTTTATATGTTTTTTAATTAAAATTCTTTCATTCATAGGTCGGGATCCAGTGACACGTCATCTTGGTCTTGAAAATACAGGTGTAAAACTTCACACAAATGGCAAAATCCTTTCGGTTAATGGTGAACAAACTAATGTAAAGCACATTTATGCTATTGGGGATATTCTGGAGGGTGGTGTTGAGTTGACTCCAGTGGCTATCAAAGCAGGCAAGCTACTTGCAGCGAGGCTCTTTTCAGATTCTGAACAGTGTATGGATTATGAAAAGGCTGCTACAACAGTGTTTACACCTTTAGAATATGCAGCAGTAGGGTTGTCGGAGGAGGTGGCTTTGAGGAGATACGGTGATGAAAATATTGAGGTAATGATTATTTAGGAAGTCAATACAAAACAGGACTACAAAAGAAAAAAGTAGATTTATTTATACATTAGAAGTAAATGATCAGCATTACCAGATATACTTGCAACTAATTTTGTTCTGTTGTACTTCCTCTGGTATAAGCCCACACCCACTAGCCTTTCCTTGGGCAAAAGCCCAGGGTAATAATTTGAATGAGCAGCTGAACTGACTTACAAATACTTTGAAAATATATCAAATATTGGCTTTGAATGAAGCATGCATTGATGAAAAAGTGTTTTTTTTATTGAAATGGTGACCAAAATGCATGCTTACATACCTGTCTCTTATACACATCTAGATGTGTATAAGAGACAGGTCTTATAACAGACGAACTACAGTATATAAATCTTAGTTGGTTATAAGAGGTAATATATGAAATGAATTGTTTTTTACAGGTGTATCATGCATTCTATAAACCATTGCAATACACAGTATCGCAGACACCAGCTGATCAGTGTTACATGAAGGTAGGCTAACAATAATTGTCTCGTACCACTGGGTTTAGGGAATCACCTATAAAGGAGTTGGGCATGGGTGGAGTGAGCAGCCATAGGTGTACAGCTGCAATTACTTATAATTGATGTAGGCCTGAGTAAGTAATCTCCTATGAAGGAGTAGTGGGTATAGGTCCCTTGGCCATACAGGCATTAGTAATAACAAAAATTGTCTTATGTTGCCATAATGCAAAATGTGCCTATTAATGTTACAATTATTCTTGCATTGAGGGTTTAACATTATCTTACTGAAAACTAACAAATTATTATTGCGACATACAGTACCATGTATGCCAATGTGTAATTGTACTAATATGAACCTGTTTCAAGGATGTATATATTATATGAGAAAAAAAGTGTGTGGGAAAAGAATAATGTTAAAGTCTTTAAAGGGTGAGGTCTTCTATTAAGTGTTAGATGAACCAGGCAGATGTAAAAAATAATTAAACAGAATTAAATAATTTATACCTCCCTGGATAAACAATGCTGTACTTTTCTTTGGGTGTGTTCGTATTTCTTGAAAACTCAGTTTTATTTTTAGATTTATAAATTTAACATAAAAAGAATTGTATTCTGCAGGTGATATGTCTCCGAGAAGCTGACCAGCCAATCGTCGGGATCCATTTACTGGGTCCTCATGCGGGGGAGATGATGCAAGGTTTTGCAGTAGCAATTCAGTAAGTCAACGTGCAGTCTAGTATAAGTGGAAAATGACAGGTTCTTTAAAATGTGTCCCTAATACATTTTCTGGTATTTAATAAAATTGGAACAGTATACGAAAGTATTTAAGTTTAGAAAATGTGTTTAATTAATAATAAGATAAGTTAGTATAGGAGCTGTGTTAAATGTGTTTAATTAATAATAAGATAAGTTGGTATAGGAGCTGTGTTAAACCCTGTCACATTATTTAAATTTGATTTGACATAAAACTGTTGTATGCCCAAATATAGTCATGATGTGTGTGTTGTCATTATGTGATGTCATCATGACCATAATTGTTAAATAGAACAAGCTGTTTTTTCTTTATTTTTTTTTTAGGTGTGGTGTCACTTACAAACAGTTATCATTAACTGTAGGTATTCATCCCACATGTGCAGAGGAAGTTGTCAAGATGCATATCACCAAGAGGTCAGGTGCTGACCCTACAGTCACAGGCTGCTGAGGTTAAATCAATCCCATAATTCCTGCATGCATTGCTAACATAAAAGGTACAAAATGCTAGGTTTTTTATAAGTGATATTGTAGCATAATTAACATCTTATGAATCAGATATGATTTTTATTTTGGTTACATTTTTTAAAATATTGGTTTCTGCAGTATTTTACTCATTAACAACTACTCTTATATGTATAATAGTACTTTAATCATCTATGCAAAAGGATATTATACAAATATAGAATGCTAAAAAATGGAACATTCCATTCAACACTCATCCAATCAAATGTTAAGATCTAAATACACAATGATAGTCTTATTTATTATTCAAATTATTTTTTTTGCATATCTTTGTAATCAGGCCTGATGTTACCATCGATATTGATGAGAGGCGGCCACAATATTTATTTAATTTATAAGCCATGAAATAGGCACCAAGGGGTGAAGCATAGCAAGAGCCACTTCTCAGCCTGTCAACAGTGCAAGCTGGTTGAACTAAGCATGGCTAGCGAGAATGGTCAGCGTGTGGCTCAAACCCTCAAAGAGATTCAAGACCTGAAGGGAAGTCGCTGCACCAAACTGCCTGGTTTGATACAGTATAGCAATTAAAATTGTATACTACTATTAGGATCTTAATTAGGCACATAATAATAATAATGATAATGATAGTAAATATTAGTTACAATATTAAGAGCAATGTTTGCAGGATGTTGGGATTGATTGACCTATGATTGACTAATAAATAAAGCGATTTTGTTTTATGATGTTGTGTTGGTACAGATGATGACTATCTCTTAAACCTCATTGGTGGAGAAAGTTTGAAGGTGACAACGAAGACCTCATTTAAATCGCTTGTATTTCAATTATAAATTTTTTAATTTGCCAATGAAAGCAAAGTATTTCATATGTTTGTTAAAATAATTATTGAAATTATATTTAATAAATTGTGAAGGAGGTAAGAATAAAATAGTATGTCACCTTTTTTGTAGTATGAAATGACATTCACATCAGTTTTAATGTAAGCAAAATTTGAACATCCAACAGCAAGTTCACTGAACCCGTTACAGGATGGAAAGATGCTTTATAAACTAAGTCTATATGAGGATTAGGGAGTGAAGTTCATTATTATTTGCAAGAATAAATAAATAAATACTATCACACAAATTGAACCCAAGACCATAGGATTGGAAAGCAAGGCACAGCACAGCCCATAGACATTATAAGACATGTTAATATTAGTTATTTTTACCCAGTGGCGGATCCAGGGGGGGGGGGGGGTTCAAGGGGTTCGGACGAACCCCCTCTGTGAAGAAACGAAAAAAAAATACTACTGGGTCCCGGCTTCCAAAATGCATGCTTACATACCTAGGCATATGTCGGAAAAACTAAGCTTAAAATAAAATTAAAAACACTGTTTTTGTTGTTTCATCGTAATAATTTATGTACGAAAGTGCGTTCATTGGTTCATCGATCCATGGAAGAAAGATTACATGTCCAACTAAGCCTACTCAATATTGTTGGAACATAATAATATATTCAAGTTGCTTCAATCGAGTTGCTTCAATCGTCTTCAGGAAAATAGAGTGGGAATTACCTGATCGCAATGGGGATCATGAAAATGAGTAAGGGATTTTTGATTTCTTCCTATTATTGGCTACTATATTTTTTCTCAATGTAGGCCTAAGAATGAGATACAATTACCAGACCTTTTTCAAGAGGGGAAAACCTTGAAATTTGAAGAACTTAAAGGTCATTAAAAGACACCTGCATATTCTTGATACCAACCTCCCCAACCAGATTGGAAGTCAGTAAATATGTCAACTGGAAATGAAACAGAAACACAGAAAAAACGTTACAAAAATATAGAATAGATTTACGAATATTTTTAATTAAACCTGTTGGTATTGTTAAATATTTATTTCTTTTTTCACCCTGATTTGCCTCTGTCTCTTATACACATCTTAACAAACATAGGTAAAGTTCCTTGGCCAAGGACACAATCGAAGGTTTGAACCTCTGACCTCAATGGCCGAAACAAAACCGCTGTGCCAACCACTCCCATCAAAGACGAATTTATAATATACATACATACTGTACAATCTTCAAAACCTTTATTAGCACATGCCCTACCACCCAATGTAACCTCTCCCCACTCCACCCCTGAATTTAAGTGAAATTGAATTGGAAGAAAATTTATTAGGTACTCCAACATTCAAAACATGTTTAGTCAAGTTATGACCATCGTATTTACGAGCACTGTCACACTAAAATCGATGTAGGTCTACATTTAATTGTCTCATGTTATTTTAAATCAATGCCAAAATTAATTGTGAAGCAGATCATATAAACTGTTACAACGAAAGTGAAACTAAAAGTTTAATTGGGACATTATTTGTGTATTCACCAATCTCTGAGTTTATCTTGTAAACATCCTTTATAATATTACAGCCTCTTGTAGGTGAAATATTGAGTAAAACATAGCCTTATATTAATTCCCCCGAGTTTGTTGCCTGAGAAACAGTTAAGTAAACATCGGAAAAGGATGTTAATATAAGATCCACGATGCCTACTGTCATATTTCTTTATATCAAAGGTGGAACCAAGATTTGCCCAATGGGTGGTCCGTGGTGCTCGCATGTCCCAACGAGAGAAAAGAGTGTGTGGTTGGGCGTCACTCAAAATATTTTTTAATTGGTCCAGGGGTGACAGGGGGACGAGCTCCATGGACGTATACAGGGGAGTACCGCGGCTCCCCCCCCCCCCGTTGGGGCCTTTAGCGCCATAACTGGGGTGTCGACTCACGAAATGCCCCACCTCCACCTTTCAAAACAGATTGCGCCTTTCCTGGGTATGACATTAAACTCCATCGAGCCGACACCTGACTCAGAGTATGTCTTAGTGACTGCTGATGAGGCGAGAATGCATAAATTAGTTTTTAGGATGTGATCTGGTTTTACATACCCATTTTTCGTGATATGACTATTTTGGATAAAGAATGTTTTGAGAGGTGGTGGATTCAAGGCGCCCCCCCCCCAATTTTTTTTAATGGAAAAAAGAAAAATATAGGCCCCTATCCAAATTTAAGCCTGAGAGTGTAATTTCACGGCCATCTAGAGGTGCCCTAATCATAAATTTTCTTACCTTAGCCTCAACCATGGTGGGGCTGAGGTGTACTCAATCTGTAAGAGTCCCACCTGGGTCACCTCCCTATTGAATTCCTGAATCCACAATTGTTGAGTTTTATATAATTATTTTTAGGTTTACATGTACTAATACTATTTAGGATGCGTTTATTACACTTTTCACTTTATCATCTCAAAACAGCCCTAAAAACCTTCAGAGCGCGCTACTTTCCAGGGGGCTTCTATATTTATGCAAGTATTTTACTTTTGATTGAAACTTTGAACCATAACACATTTTCCTCGGAAATTAAACGCACAGATATTAGGCCTACTAATTCGTGTTAGCCATAAGAAGGACCTAAACAAAATCTAATTTGTGATCTGTGTTAAGAAGTTGATAACTTAGTTTTTTTATTTTGAATGAGTTATCCAATGTTTTAATTTACTTATTTTATGATTTTTTTTTATAAAGATTTCAATATAATTACTTATATCAGCAGTTTTTATATTCCACTGTGTAAATCGCGTTTGATCGTAGTTTCCGTCTCGTAGATTGATGAACGTTTAGATTCGTTTTCTGATTAACATAAATCGTCGCTCACATCACGAATTAACACAATTAAATTCAATTGTGTTAGTTCGTGAAATAAAAAAAGCGCGTCAAAATACGCGCTGCTGTCGTTAAGGACTTTTTGGCTACGTTCAGACCTGTGAGATACGCCAGGCGTATCTAACGCCGGGCGTACGTTATTCCATGGCGTAACTAGCGAGATGTCCAGACTGGGCGATTAATGAACGCTAGCGTAAGTATTCGCGCGAAATATTCGTATTCGTAATTCGCGCATTTTATTTTCTGTTTACATCTAGATTTATTTTGATTGGTCAAATCTTGGCTGAACTCAAAATCACCGATGCGTGACTCGTAAATCAGTGGCGTACGCTAATCTGGGGTCTGTTGCTGGATTACCGTACGCCAGTGATTGCGCGATAATACTGGCGTTCGCTACGCCGCGCACAAGTTCACACCACTCGATTAACGTTACGCTAGCGTAAGTCGTTGTGTCTGAACATAGCCTTAGTGTGGTAAAGAATACAAAATTGATTGACAACCAATACGCGCTCGTTTTGACGCGCTACTGTGATTTCACGAACTAACACAATCTACTTTGATTGTGTTAGTTCGTGACGTGAGCGACGAAATGTGAATGTAGGCCCACGCACAGGAAATATAGTCATAGACGCATTTTTTAATGATATCCATTTAAATTATACGAGGTCAAAGACGTTTGATTAAGTCATTCTATTCGACTCTGTTACATATAGGCCTAGTAATCCTATGTAAATTTCGTAACTTAAAGTTCGAAAAAAAGTGTTCTACAGTCTACATGCCTTGTCATAATTTTTCAACGACTAATATATTTATTTGAAGAACACACGTGGATTTACAATTCTATACATATATATACATATATATATATATATAATATATATATAAACAAGAAAAACAAATGTAAGAGTTTATATAAAATATATATGCTGTCTCTTATACACATCTAGATGTGTATAAGAGACAGGATGTATAGTGCTCAATGCAAATGAAGAGCGCAATATAATAATAATAATAATAATAAGGTTATGTCAAGCGTGAATTTACTGTACAGCTGTTTCATGCAGTAGCAATCTTCAAGAGTGAGTGGATAGGAGGATAATGAAGGTATGTATGAGGTTCATAACACAATTCAGTTATGTCTTACTGCTATGAGTTTTAATATTAAAACAGAATGAATGACTGAAAACCATATTGTGTAATAAAGTGTATCAGGTGGTTATTTGATTCTGTTCTACTATGAAGCTTCTGTGGTCTAATAGTTATGCGTGAGGTCGCAGGTTCGAACCCCGTCAGAAATGTTTTATTTCACAATTTCTTTATTCATTTATTTATAGGACAACATTCGTTGTTACACGATGAAGGAAGCAGGTGCTACCGAAAATCGTACAAATAAAATTCAATGTCTCAATTAAGTAAAAGTGTATTGCAGTAGTAGTAGTATATATAATAATAATAATAATAATAATAATAATAATAATAATTTTGGCTTATATAGCGCATTATGCTAAAGCCTCAATGCGCTTAACAGTAAAAATAAAATTCGGGAAAATGTATATATATATATGTGTGTATATATATATATATATATATATATATATATATACATATATATATAGTTCACTTTGTATATTACAGCATAAACTATTAGATAATTGGCCTATAATCCGTCTATATCACTATCACTATTGTATTGTTTATACTGTACAGTATACAACTTGCAACAGCTAATCTTGTGCATTCAGTAAAGCTGATGAAGGTCAGAGGACTGGCCGAAAATTTCGTTCGAAAAAAAGTGTTCTACAGTCTACATGCCTTGTCATAATTTTTCAACGACTAATATATTTATTTGAAGAACACACGTGGATTTACAATTCTATACATATATATACATATATATATATATATAATATATATATAAACAAGAAAAACAAATGTAAGAGTTTATATAAAATATATATGTATCTTTGTACACAATATGAAGGAATAACATTTGCACAATTGAGCAAAATCTTCATTCGAGTGTGGCAACCTTTGTGTTGTACATCCGCCTCTCCCTGCCGTGTCTACCCGTCGTCGACAAGGTGCAGTGGAGAACGTACGTTGATCCACCTATGCAGAGCTGAACCAGAGCTGAGAGGCTAGCCTAAGCGGCTGTGGTGTTGCGTAGACTGAATCAATTTACTGAAAATAAACGTCTCAGTTTAGTACCAAACTTTCGTTTTCTCTGGGTAGTTTTCAGTAGATATGCGACAGTTGAAATTTTATGTGGTATAGTATTGAATATTCTGCATTTGTTTTATTTCTTATTTGTTTTTCTTTCAACGAAGCGGCAATTCCCAAGCTCGGTGGGCGATTACAGCTGACTATTTATTATTAGTGATTTGTTTTTGTGTACCATACAAAACAATCACTCTTGACTTTTCGTTGGCCTCGATGTCGACTGTTGTTTTTTTGTTAAATTTTTCACGAATGACCGTTAACAATTTGATTGGAATTCAGATACGATACATATCTATGATAATATTAAAGATGATTTATCGTAGCTCTGAACAATTTTTTTCTCGATAAAGCTTTGAAATCATAATATATTATTAGGCCCTAGGCCCTAGGCCTAGTTGATCGAAGAAGTCAACAAGTAGGCCAGCTAGGCCTAGGCCTATTAATTATTTTCATAATTCTGTATGTGGTGGTATTGTTGTACATCAAGGCTAGGCTAGGCCTATGCCATGTCCATTTATTGCTCCAATATTAGTTAATGGACTTTTGACGCAATTTTATGCAAAAATTCAAGAAAATTTGTTAATATGGCATGGTCATGGTACCAGTGAGTTGTCACTATATGATTATACACATTCTACAGTAATCAATAATAAACAAAAATTAATAATAATAATAATAGTATAAGGCCTAGCCTAATTTATCATCATCATCATTATAATAATAATACATCAGCATTGTATAAATTGTAATAATATGTATTTTTGTGTGTGTGTGTGTTGATGTGCAGTTATTGGAATTGCAATATGAAGACAAAGTCTTTGTGCATAGTGTGAAGTACTTTAATTTGCTTAGGGATGCATCGAAAAATAAATAAAATTTGGACGGGAAAAAATTACTAGGAATTTTTTCAAAAATGCACAGACAGATTCCTTGGCCTAATTTTTGTACATGGGGTGGGGATACAAAAACTGCTCAAGGAAATAGTATATCATTATTTCATCATGAGTTATAAATTTGTTTACACCAGGTGCATAACAAAAATAATTTGCATTTAAAAATGTTCTCAGGGCCTACAGGAGTCATGCAAGTGAATATAAGCACAAAAGATGGCAAGTTTTATAGCTGAAGATTCTACAATATCAGGAAATGTTGATCAGACTTACTCACAGGAATATAAACCTGACGTAGAAGATAGCCACACCAATGGTAATGATGATAAATTTGATGGACAAGAAACCCACACCAGTGGTATAGATGATAAATTGGATGGACAAGATGGCTACACCAATGGTGCTGATGATAAACCAGATGGACAAGATAACCACACCAGTGTTATTAATGATAAACCAGATGGACAAGAAAGCCACAGTATTGGTGTAGATAGTAAACCAGATGGACAAGATAGCAACACCAGTGGTATTGATGATAAACCTGCTGGACAAGATAGCCACACCAATGGTATTGATGATAAACTGGATGGACAAGATAGCCACACCAATGGTATTGATGGTAAACCGGATGGACAAGATAGCCACAGTAGTGGCATAGATAATAAACCTGATGGACAAGATAGCCACACCAGTGGTATTGATGATAACCTAGATAGACAAAGTAACCATGCCAATGGTATTGATGGTAAACTGGATGGACAAAATAGCCACACCAGTGGTATTGATGATAAACCTGACGGACAAGATAGCCACACCAGTGGTATTGATGATAACCTAGATGGACAAAGTAACCATGCCAGTGGTATTGATGATAAGCTGGATGGACAAAATAGCCACACCAGTGGTATTGATGATAAACCTGCTGGACAAGATAGCCACACCAGTGGTATTGATGATAACCTAGATGGACAAAGTAACCATGCCAATGGTATTGATGATAAGCTGGATGGACAAAATAGCCACACCAGTGGTATTGATGATAAACCTGATGGACAAGATAGCCACACCAGTGGTATTGATGATAACCTAGATGGAAAAAGTAACCATGCCAATGGTATTGATGATAAACTGGATGGACAAAATAGCCACACCAGTGGAATTGATGATAAACCAGATGGACAAAATAGCCACACCAGTGGAATTGATGATAACCTAGATGGACAAAGTAACCATGCCAATGGTATTGATGATAAACTGGATGGACAAAATAGCCACACCAGTGGAATTGATGATAAACCTGACGGACAAGATAGACACACCAGTGGTATTGATGATAAACCTGACGGACAAGATAGCCTTGCCAATGGTATGGATGATGAACCAGATGGACAAGGTAGCCTCGCCAATGGTATTGATGGTAAACCATACGGACAAGGTAGCCTCGCCAATGGTACGGATGATAAACCAGATGGACAAGGTAGCCTTGCCAATGGTATTGATGGTAAACCAGGTGGACAAGGTAGCCTTACCAATGGTATTGCTGAGGAAACTGTAACAAAAAAAGTGGACAGGTTCGGATTTACTGGAGGCAACCAGTTTGAAGAGAATAGGTAATACATATTAATAATAATTTTTTGGCATTTACAGTTAGATATAGGACTTTCCATGGTCTAACAATCTCAAATCAATTCACATTATTACCTTGGTCATTGGAAACAGTAACACTCATGGAGGTGGATTCCATGAGGGAAGCCAGCACCAGATTCAAACCATGGTTCTTTCGATTTAGAATCCGAAAACCACACTACTGACATCTATACTTTGGTTAAATGCTGTTTAAAAAAATATTTTGCATCTTTAATTGTAGTGTATTTTTTGTTTTATTGAATTTTTTATTTCTTAAATTAATTAATTTATATTTTTATTTCAATTTGTACACACTTTATACAGCAAGAATATTTTTAACCGCCCACACAAGTATGGGCAGAAATGAGAAACTATTTTTATTTCTGTTTGGCCATTATGTTATTGTAATGTGAATCATGTATTATTTTGCATACACTGTAATCATACAATATTCCATTCTTTGCTAAAGGTCATAATCTGTGTATTGTACTTGACACTAATTCTAATGGGATGGGATATCCTTGTTTTAAATGACTCATTGTATAACAGTCACCTGGGGAAGAATTATATAAGTAATAACAGTTTGTTTCCAATAATTAACCACTTTGCTATAGTGTTGAATGATACTATTGAGATATCAGTAAGCTTCCTTTATAGTGTATCTCCATATGTTAGCCAATTGACATTTCAAATACTATTAATTACCACTAAGATTTTTATTACGACTCTTACTCATTTCATACTATTTACTTCTTTTGAAATGTTTTTTTTTTTTTTTTCAAAAGTAACCATTAGTTCTGCTCAAATCCCAATCAATAGTTATTACTTTTCTGTAATATGAGATTAATGTGTGGGAAATTACACTTCAATAAAGATTATAAACTGACCTACCTTTAAGCTAAGGCCAAATAAAATATTCTACTCAAGGAAAGGACCATTGGAAGTAAGGGTCAGTCGGTCAGTTGGTAATTTACTTGTTTTCTTACAATAAACCCATTTTATGAAATCTATTGGCACTTGAAAATTTCACCTTTCATACATCATCTATTTTAAGCTTATCTTATCAAGAATATATTTTTGCAAAACCAACCTTTAGATTTTAAGATTTTGCATCGGTCTAGCATCACAAACATTTAGTTTCCTATTCAAGATGCAAAATAGTTTATTTTCTGGCAATAATCATACTCGACCTGTGCCCTGGGAAGATGAAATACATTATGTAGTATTGAACTGTATTTAATTAACAGTTCCACATGAGTAATAGCTGACATGATGCATGCAGGACTATTTTGATAAATATTAATATTATTCTCTTTCCAGAGATTCTCATTTGCCTGTAAGTGTCATCCGCAAACGCGAACTCAAGTGGTTGGATATGCTTGAGGACTGGTCAAAATGGATGAGTAAAAAGCCAAAAAAGGTAATACATTTTCCATATTTATTTGATACTGTATATCAATCCAACATTTTCTTGTTGATGATACAGTGTTTTCTCAGAGAATTGACAGAAGCAGTTGAACTGTTGCTAGAAGTAAGCAAGGTGGTGCCTGGTTGAATGGAGCAGCCCAACCTTCAATGAATTACTCAACTAATGTACAAACACTTAAGGCATTCATTACTGTATAAGCCTATAAGGTGTTGCAAAATTATTTTTAATAAATACATAATTTGTACCATATATATTATTTCCACATAAAATTTACTTTTTCATGTATACTGTTAATTAAAAAGACTTGAATATATGTGCATACTTTTAAAAGTTTCTGTGTTAACTTTTAATCTATTTCTCTTGTGCCCTGCTCAGACTTTTATGTTTGTTATTTTTGTTTCGGGCAACTAATTTTTATTTTCTCCATGAAACTGTAGTGTAAATTATTTTGTTATACTTTGTCACAACTTACTGTTGACCCACTAAACTATAATAAAAATAGTCATAAATATACAGTTATCTAATTTATAATTTGAACATAACTGATTTCTAGACTTTCGGGCTATGATTCAGTCATTATTCAAAAGTTGTTGGCCTGCTGTATGGGCCATATAGTATCATTGTTTAATTACTCAAATTGTTTTATTCCATAAATATTATGCTAAGCTCTTTTTTTGAAAAATGTTTGTTGATGCTTAAATAACAATTCAAATAAAGAAAAAATAATAAATCTATTATTAATAAACTCTAATGACTTAGCAATTTATCTTAATTTCCTTTGTATGTATTTGCCATTAAATAGATGAAAATTTTAATTATTTTGTTATGGTTTCGGTTTATAATTACTTAGCATAATTAAAGTCATAATTATAATACTAATAATTCTGATTTTTTTTTTAACTTTTGAAGAGAAACAAATAGATATTCATCTCTGTCACTTAATTTCAAAATATGATTCTCTATCGTCAAGTTGTATTCTTATGTCGGTTTAAAAATTTTGTTTCTTTCTTGAAGGTCAAAGAGCGTTGTCGTAAAGGAATCCCATCCTCGTTACGTGCGCGAGCGTGGCAGTATTTGTCAGGAAGTAAAAATGTAATGGAGAAAAAGAAACTAGTATTTGCAGTAAGTAATCTTTCTTTTCAACATACAGTATCTATGAAAATTTAAATTTCATGTTCAATTTATTTGCCTCCATAAAATATAGAATCATGCATCACATACAAACAAATCATTGCATACAAAACAAAAGAAGTAACAAATTAATTAAATAGAGTTAAAATAATAAGATCCATTCAAAAAGGTCACAAAAAATTCAGAACAGTGTTAAACAGAAATGGCAAACTTAACACTGTCGCACACACCATGGGAAACACAAAAAACAAACTTGCAGGATCTTAAAACATTATGACAGTAATTATTATTAAATATTATGTTACAAATGAAAAATCAATGCCTGTTATGTTATCGATTAGGGTGTGTTTAACATGCAGTTGTTTACAATTCAGTAAATGTGAATAAAAAGACCTATATTTTGAATCACTGATGAATATCTGGTTCAGTAAGTTAACTTGATTGGCTTTAATGATATTAGAAATTTTAGGTAAATTAAGGGCATCGTACGTCTACAATTAAGACATTCTATACTATATTTAGGACCAAAACTATGGGAAAATCTTTCACCTGATTTAAAAAGTAATCCAACTCTGGCTAGTTTCAAAAATTGCTATAAAAAATCTCTGAATCAGGTATATGGTGTATAAATCCTTCCTTTAAATCTATACAGACTTTTCACTGCTTCTTTATTATTATCACTATTATTAGTATGCATTCTGTATTTCCTGTTTATCTTAATACTTTCATATATATATATATATATATATATATATATATATATATATTTTATTATTATTGTTGTTATTATTATATTATTTTATATATATATATTTTTATGTATATATTTTTTTAATGTTATGTTTGCATATTTATATCAATATTAATTATTAGGCCTACTACGTCGCATGCGACTGATTATCTGGTGGTCATGCCTTAAAGTGTTTATGACTTCCTTTAACACCAATATTTTACCTTATTTAATGATTACTGCTGTCTATTATTTAAGATAATAACAATTATTATTATTATTATTATTATTATTATTATTATTATTATTATTATTATTATTATTTCCCCATTATATTGTGTAACTCATTTCATTTGTGTGAAAAAAAACCCAATAAACAGAAACAGAAAAATACAGTAATAATGGGATAATGATCACTGGTATTGTTTAATATGCTATTCAGAATACAACAGTCACTAATCTTGCTCCGTGAGTACCTGATCATACTGTTACCATTAAAAGGGTGTGATCGATACCAATTTAGACTTAATTAGAGGTAATGAAGCATTTAGGTCGCCTACAATTATGACAGGGAATCAGTGTCATTAACATAAGTTTGTAACGCATCAACTCTTTCAGAATATAGCTGTATCTGATCATATGAGTGATCAAAATGAGGCATATATACCCCAAATATTGTAATTAAGATAGCAATATTATTTACTATTTGAATTGCACTTATGCGTTTATGTTCTATTGGTAGTTCCCTGTAAACAATGTTTTCTGTAAGTTTGCAAATAAACCCAATACCCTCAAAGGGTCTGCCCATTGTTACCTCTTCTGGATCGTACTTTTTCTTGTGCAGCATCTTTTCAACGGACTACCATCGTTTGTTAACTTTATCGCCTGGCATGTGGACCAAACTTTTGTTTTCCTCCATCAATCTTATCAAACTTAATGATAAAACTATTATTAGTCTTATCAAACTTATGATAAAAGTATTATTAGTCAGAAATGAATTAGTATTTTCAATGTTGTCATTCATCATTGTACTTACCCAAAAATATTTTTTGTCTCCACAACCACATTACTAATGTAATGTAATGTAGGTAGATATTTATAAGTGCTTTATACGGAAGTCTCAAAACGCTTGAGGCTTGGACTAGTTCGTACAGTAACTTTCTTCTACCCAAGGGTCTCTTCATGTCTGAGCTACCTGGTAAACCGGTACCAGCTACTCTCATCTGTACCATAATAGGGGCTGTATGGACCAGTATAACCCCCACTCGTCTAGAAAGATATACTGGGTTCTTGAAAGTGCACGAGCCAAATTGGGTGCACTGTGCCTACGGTTTATAATCCTTATTCGAGAAGACTCGTTCCACTTCCAGTACCATAGGCGAGCGTGCCGTTGGAACCAGCACTGATGGCTGTACGATGTGGTTCCCCTGCCTCAACCGCCATTTGACCATTTGACCTATCTCGGCCATTCGACTTGCCGACTTAAATATGCTGCTCTATATACAGTAAATGTACATGTTGTTAATCTTAGGTTTAATTACAGTTGAACTTGCCTAAGTCAAATCCAAATTTCCATTGAAAAATTGTTCGACTTAGATGAAATTTGACTTACAGATCATTATTTAATGGAAACACAACAATTTGGCATCTGTATTATCATTAATATCCTTATCATTAGCCTGATCATGAACGGTCTACCCACTTTAAATGGTTGAAATAAAATACATTAATAAACAATTTGCATTAGCATAAGCCAATTCAAAGTTTGAACTGCTCATGCCCCTATTGAAGTCAATCGACATAAACAAACATAGGTTTAATATGTAGATTAACTTTGGATATGGGCATGTGCAGGTGAAACTACACATTGGATTATCATCATAGTCTTCAGCAGCAAAATAGATCAACATTATCATCATTATTATCATCTTCATCATCCTCATCATCCTCTTTGCCATTCCAGTCATCATTTTTTATTTCTTTAAAAATTTTATTCATTCTGGCAAAACAGATACAAATACAAAAAAATCAGAAAAATTCACAAACATATAAGAATAATTAGGTGAGCCAGGGAGCAGCAAAAGCTGAACCACTGTCATCTTAAGGCCAACTCAGACAGCGTCGGCCGACGCAGCCCGACCCGATTTATCGTCGGGGACAGTCTTAAGCCGTCGTGGGAAATATTAAACACGTTTAATATTCTACTACGCGACTGCCCCCGACGCACACCATCGCGTCTGCGTTCAACTCACGCAGACCCGACGCGACGATAAATTGCGTCGGACTGCGTCGGCCGATGCTGTCTGAGTTGGCCTTTAGAGATGTGCTGCTCCCAGTCGCCATCGTTATCAAAATTGTTGTGCCATCGTTATCAAAATGTTTGTGATTTGTAATTACATTACCTTAGAATTGCCATATTATTATAAACTATAAAATTGTCATGTTTTTTTCTACAGGAACTTGATGCTCAAGATGGCGACCCCAAGTGGGTGGATCTCATTGAAAAAGATCTAGACCGTCAATTTCCATTCCATGAAATGTTTGCGAAAGGAGGAGGAGGACAACATGATTTATTCCGCATATTAAAGGCCTATAGCATATACAATCCTAGAGATGGTTACTGCCAAGCCCAAGCCCCCATAGCTGCCGTCCTAGTAATGCAGATGCCTGCAGAAGTAAGTTACTTTCTCAAATCAGTATACATTGTTGTTGGAGCAAATGGGTGAACTAATAGTTATCATACAGTATACATTGTCCAGATTAAAAAAAAGAAAGATATAAAATCGAAAATTAAATTTACCATTGTAACAAATCAGAGGCAGTTTGTAAAGGTTGCATAAAATAAATGATCTTGTCAGTAAATAACTAAATCATCTTTTTGTCCGTGTTGAATTTGTTTCTCTATACCATGGTTAATATTTACAATAATAATTAACTGCATATTATGTAATACCTTAAGACTGACTTGCCCATAATGAAATTCTGTTTTGAGAAAATGTAAGCTTTCATTTTCTGACATTGTATATTCAAATAAGTTATTTGCTTTCAATACTATTATTGAAAGCAAATAACTTACTTGACATTGTATACTCAAGTAAGTTATTTGCTTTCAATAATAGTATTTGCACAATACAATAACAAACAATATACCTTTAAAGGGGAAATTTCAATATAGTATTTATTGAAATGTAGGATAGGTTAGCTGAATATCTTTTTCACTAGAGCTCCTGTAAATACTAATCCAGGGAGTCCCTAACTTTTGAAACTTCGAATGCTGGAGAACGGAGCTGTGAAAATGATTCTTCTGCTTTTTATGCCTTTTTCTTTTTTAGGATATTTCATGGTTAAATTTCCTTTTGTTCATATAATAAGCATAGAGGCAAATTTCTTTTAGTATGTGCTATATACTTACATTATTATTATTATTGTTATTATTATTATTATTATTAAATGAATAATTTGAATAATTAATTAAACAGATTATGCCAAATTGACCTCGTAGCTAATTTACTAGAGCATCGGTACAATATCCAGAGGTACTTATGAATCTGTTTTATTTGCATCTTAAGCTTGGATAACAACTTGCATTTCCAGATTTTAAGTGAAACTGTAATTTGTCATAGCGGGTGTGTATGTTTTGTGTGAATTTCTATTAAATTTTCTGTTGAAATAATCATCACTGAACATGACTTTCTGTTTCAGTATCTGGCCATCTTGTAATGTTTCTTCTATCATCATATATAATAAATGAGCATACATAGATTGATCATTAATAACTGCCTAAATTGATTTAGACTACAGCTCATATATATTCAAGTACTCTGCTGTTAATTATTAATAATCTATTCATTATTGAAGTAGATAGACCTTATATGAAATAAGCATCCAAAATGTTATAAATAACTTTTTTCACAGCTGCAATAAACTAACTTCTCATGAAAATTTTAAAATCTATTATCTATCCATGTACTGTATATGAATTTACTTTTTCTGATTCAAATATTAATGTATGTCAGATATGTACTGATAAATATAATTTATTTCCTATAATCATAAAACATAAAGATCTAAGGACGATTCTCGACAGTATTTAAAAATCGTTTTGGATGAATATTTTCTAAGAATAACCAGATGGCACACACACTAATATTATAAGTAATGGATATTATTTTAATAAGTAAGTCTTCTTGGATGTAATTTGAAGTTATATTTGCTTGATCCTTTCACATTTTATCTGAAGGCAAGAATTCACAAGGATTTACCTAGGATTATCATGAAGCTGCCAACATATTTGAGTCATATCACAATTATCATAAAAAAAAATACTCTGTAATTTTTCATTTTATTCCTTGTAACCAACCTACAACAGCTATCATTTGTTTTATTCTAGTTGTGAAAAAATAAAGACTAGAATAAAAATATATGTGCCAGTGGTCTCTTATAACTTCTGAACTTCAGGATTTCTCTATTTCTTGCATTTTTTCCATTGATTCCATTGATATTTATTATCTTTTATATTTCTTATAATTAATTATATTACAGGAAATCAATAATTGAATTATACTACAGGTCTCCCTCCAATTAAAGACCACTTTTGGAACTGGGGTTTCTATGGTCTTTAGCTTTGGTCTCTAATTAGAAAAATAAAGATAAAAGTATTCATTTGTTAATATGGGACCACAGAAAAATGGTCTTTAATTGGAGGTGGTCCTTAATAATTATTGTATAAAAGTAGGAATATTGTCTGCAGTTGAGTTCAAAAGGTTATATAGCATATTTACAATTTACAGTTAGAAAGAATAAGATAAAAGAATAAAATTTACAACAGAAAAATCACATTTTATTGCACATTTAGGCTTATGTATTTTGTTTATTTGCGAGTATAATGTTTACTCTATCGTTTTGAAAAATTAATAAAACTATAGAAAGCAAGCAATTTACTTGTATATATTGATATTAATTATTTTTACAGGAAGCATTTTGGTGCCTTGTTCAAATATGTGAGAAGTATCTAGTCGGCTATTTCAGTCCTGGATTGGAGGCTATGCAAATTGACGGAGATGTACTCCTTGGTTTGATGAAGCGCCACCTTACGACGACATATCATCACATGGTGAGAAAGGATTTTGAACACTAAATTATCAAATTATACATTAAATATGCTTACAACATTAAAAGGTAAAAAGTATTTAAAAATGATATATAAGCATACTTTTATTAACACCATTTGTACATCTAGTTTAAGCACTCCAGTTCTGTCTAATCCAACCTCTTGTACCGGGTGCCTTGAAATTATCTTCAATTTATTCCAAAAACATGCATGCAGTTAAAGATTGTTAAAACTTAGCGAATGATGTTTTAACAGTCTCATTCTATCATTGTCAATTTTGCTTTTGTTTTGTTATAAATGTTGCTAATGTTATTGTTATATAACAATATATTTATTAAGTAAAATGAAATCATTGTTTAAATAGATCAAACATGGAGGAATAAGTTTACTTATTAATGGATCAAGTAGACATTAAGTAAAATTAATTATAAAATTATAATAATTTTCTTATGTGTAATTCACTAGTTATGTAATAAAAAGTACATGGATTTCAAATATAATATTTAAAAAAAATGTGTATGATATTCCTATTTGAAATTATTGATGTTTTTATTTGTCTATTAGGTGGAGCAGAACCTGGAGCCGGTTCATTATATGACTGAATGGTTCATGTGTATATACTCACGTACTTTCCCATTTGCAACAGTTCTCAGGGTCTGGGACATCTTTCTATGTGAAGGTATATCCCTGATTTTTGTTTGGTCCAATTACTTGTGCATGTTATTATAACACATTTTATGTTATACCATTAGCCATTATCATCATCCATCATCAATCAGTAATTTAAATATATCATCAACATCATCATCGTCATTCACATCATTATTATCATCATTCACATCATTATCATCATCATCATTTCACCATCATCATCCTCATTATCATCAACATCATAACCATCATCATTATTTTCTTGATTATTGTCATCATTACTACTATTGCTATTATCAGATTTGCATGGTTTAAATAAATACAGGAAATAATATAAATTCCTGATTCAATATAAGTTGATATTTGCCAGGGTATTAGTAAATTAATAAATAATTTGTTAATAATATATTTTGATAGCTTAAATAGTATATTATTATTCATTAGAATTAAAGTAGTCGTGTGAGTTTTGTTTGTATAATGATGTTAATAATGCTATAGAGTACGTCACGATACCGCTTGATACTATTCCGTTGCCATCGTTCAACTGGACGCTATTTTCTCTACTGACAACCATTGATCCCAATTTGTAACATAATTATTAAGATGTTGTATCTTAGTTTTTCTTTGTAAATTTGAATTGATGATTAAAATTTTTAGTACATTTTGATGTTAATTATTAGATTTTAAAATGCCTATTCCAGAAAGCCTATGGAGTCGTTCAGACGGTAACCATGTCATGGGGAAATGGTTAAGTTGTAGCACAGGCCAGTATTGAGTAAAAGAGCTATAAAATATGGGGAGCTCAAAAAATTGCCTAAAAATCCAAATTTGTTTTTCACTATAGATCAACAGTTTAATGTCTTATTAATCACGTCCCAAAGTATTGGAAATGGTCAACAAATTCTATTAAACAATGTACACAAATATCTTTGAAAGGCAATTACTCAAAATCATGTTTATCTTGACTCTAAGAGTACTGTACTTTCACTTTCCAATATTCTTAAGCTTGAAATAGTGCAATTTCAATGAATGACCCTTCATTTTAAAGATTACATACTCGGTATCTAAAAATACCAATAACTTGAATTGTATTTTTGCTACAACTTAGCTATTTTGCCACAACATGCCTCATATAGTACAGTATTATTGTATGTTGATTTGAACCATTTAATATTACAGGGGTTAAAGTGTTATTTAAGGTTGCATTAGTGATCATCAAACATTCGCTATCCAGCAGACGTCAGCTGCAAGAATGCCCAGGATTTTATGAAACCATACAAAAATTGAAACACATTCCCAGCGATATTGTAGAAGAAGATTTCCTTATTAATGAGGTAATAAAAATTCAGATATTGGTATTATCTCTTTATGTAACGTGAATGAAGGTATTTATTGCAATATGCATTTATTAACAGCACTTATTACTTTTAGTATTGTTTTAATAAATAGAGTAGTTAGTATTGTAGTTAAGTTCCCAGTTAATATTGTGAGCCTATGGGCAATTTTTCATGCAGTGGCACCTTTAGGCGCCAATTTTCCTAATAGTGCATTAAATAAGTCTACACTACTTCTTTTAAGTTATTTAATACATTAAATCACCATTACCTAGGCTCGGGTTGGTCCATTTGGCTTGGGCCCAGCCACGCCTAGATGCTTGAGAACAATTATTTTATTTCTTTTCAATTTATGAATGCTATTTTTGGTTAATTGTTTTCCAGGTTGTGGAGATGAGAGTATTTGAAAAGGAATTTGAAGCAGAGCATTCGCTACAGGTAGCGCGGAGGAATGCAATGAAACAGAGGCAGCTGCGACACAGCAATCAAGTGCAAATGGCAAAGCAAGTAGCAGAAATAAAACAGAAGAAGAAAATCAAATCTAAATCAAAAATTCAACTTAAGAAGCCACTTTCCCAGAGTCACAGTGCTTTGGATTATATATCCAGTGATCAAATTGATAACTTTGACGCATACAGCTTGCCCAACACTCCCAGTCAGCGGAGATGGGCCGAGGTAGGAAATATAAAACAGCAAAGTCAGAGTGATACTGGCGCATATCAAAGCAAGTTTAACGGAGCAAAGGCGTATAGTGCCGATGAACTAGATTATGATGGTTATTTAGGTGAGGTAACTAACCAAACAGACACTGGTTTAAATGGAAAGAAAGCAGGTGAAAAGGTAAAAAAAGAAAAGAAAAAGTCAAAGGATAAAAAGAAGACCAAAATAAAATAGTCTTACTTTAAGTGCACCATCAAACATTGGCAGCAGAGGGGAAAGACTGAACTTACCTAATATTCTTCTTCTTGATTTCTACTGAGTCTGATATCTTTTCAGATGTTTCTGTCATAATTCAAGAAACCCAGTTTTATGCCAATGACTTCTCAAATGATTCTGCACTTTTAACTTTTATTCAAACTTTAATGATGTAATTTTATTAGTATGCTAGTTCATACATGGTTCTAAAATACTCCATGACTGGGAATGCTCCTCAGGGAGTGGAGTTGAGGAAATTGCACATTATGTATATTTGTGAATGTTTCTGATAATTGGAATTGGATATAATAATTAAAAGGTGCTTAGAATTTGTGTATAAAGCCCTGGATATGCCAAACATGACTATAATTATTTATTATATTAACTTTTGATGCCTTATTGTTGATATGAGTTGTGAACATCCAGTCTCTTGTATTCAAGCCTATCAATTATTAATGGATCATGAATAAAACTTCCAGGTAGTTGCTTACTAATTAAACCTCCGATAATATCCCACTCAAATGTATGTTAAGTAATTTAAGTTTAATAATGCATATTTGTGCTGAACTTTAGTCCAGAATAATTCCACGTCCTTCTCTGTTGTATATTTTGTTACTGTGGTACATTGAATATGAGTTAGATTTTTGTTATTACAAAGAGAGTGCACACATTTATATCACATTTATTTTTAATGGAATTTCATATATTTTATGTTTGATTTTCATGTGGTGTCAATCATTAAATACAACTCAATTTTATTTATAAACATTGTTTTTACAAATCTATAATTTGTTTACCCAACTCACACTGTAAAGATATACTGTCTGTTGAGCTAATCAATATATGATAACTTCCTTTGTAAGAAAAGACAGTTAACAGATTTAAATTGAAAATTAGATTAGAGACAAATTTTAGTAAGTTAATTAACAGATATATAAATATTATTGTTTCTGAATTCTTTTAACTAGACCCTTCAGTTGGCAGGAAATCAATTGAAGGGTGTTGAATTGATAATATAGTTTTTAAATCAGAGAAAACTTTTTTCTTATCTCTATATTATTGGAAATTAATAACTTGATATTTTTTTTTAAAGCTATTCAGTGTTATAATTTAATTGGTTTTACTATATGTCTTATTAGGGAGTTTGACAGATGACGTCATAATTTATTCATCTTGCGTTGCGGAGTACGTTAATTTCAGGATTTTACGTGCTCGACGTACGTTAGTTACGGGTTTGCGCATGCGTATTTCGATTTGTTTACAAAAGGGGAGGAGCTATCGCGCTGCATGCTGGGTACTAACATTAAAGTTAGGATAGCGTCATGCATTGAAAACTCTATTATTAATTAGCAATCTTTATTGATCTCTGAGTATAAAAAATGCAATTTAAAAAAAAATCTAGCCTCCAGTGGACAACATATTTTGTAGTTTTGCAAAAAAAGACATAAAATCAGAAATTACTACAAGATATTTTTTTTTTTAAATTAAAAAAACTAAGGAAACCAGACATAATAATACCAGAACCAAATTTTAGTTTGCTTCTTATTATCTCTTTATATTTTCTTCTGGTTTAATTTTAATAAAACCAAGGTATATATTTATTATATACACTACCATATTTTTCTAGTTTTGCATGTATTTTAAGAACTAATTGCTAAGTCATAACAGTTGTAGAGAGAATCCAACTCAACCTAGAATGTGCAATTTAAGATATGCGCAATGAACAAGGATTTTGTATGTAAACCATAGAATTTGTATGTTACCATGTTAAAATAGCCCACTGATGTACTGACCCCTGTCATTGTCATGGATTACTATGTATCTCAAAAAGTGTGTTTATTCATTCATCAAACTTTCCTGGTATATCATAGGTATACTTTTTAAAAATCAAAAGGTTTTTATATAATAATTAAATGAATGACTACAATATAAATAACTTATAACTTATAGATTAATTTTTACATCTTTTTGGCACAGGTGTCATTTAAATGTCATTGAGTCTCAACTCAGTTCTTCATGAAAATTGTAAAGTTAGCATTTTCTGATAATTAACAAAATGTTTAATACTGTAATTATTCTTTGATAAAGAATTATAAAACAAATTCTCTCGCTAAACCAAGTAAAAAAGATATATAAATAATATACACCTTTGGTAGTGGGCCAAAATGTGGTATTAAGTAATTTATTATTGCATATGGTGTTTGCTGTATTGTTTCTTAATCTTTTGGGGACATGGTAATGAATTGTCTTTACCATTATATCAAGACTGTGCTCGATTATTCAATTAAAAGAGACAAAATTTGTGTGAATGTAGTTAAGTGTATTTAAATCAACAGACTTGATGAAATGTTCATTATGTGTAGCTAAATGTGTGGTGGGTTTCTTATGTGTGCCATTATATGTATTGTCATGTTCAGTGTGCCTAATAAATCATATATGTACATAGCATTATGTGCTTATCTTGTATTTATTAGATGTTCATTGAGTAATTTGTTGAAACAAACATGAGAAGTTTTTGCAGAAGAGAGAAACATCATCAAAATCACTCATAAATGAATATTATTATAAATTATAATTTCAATTCTATCCACATATATCAGCACCATATATCTGAATATCATTGTATTCCTTATCATGACCATCATCATGATCTTTATCATCATCATTATCATCCATCATCACCTTGTACAAGTTGTACAAATGCTGTTGTCTTCAGTCTTCATTGTAGTAATACGAGACATCTTTTTATAAAGTCAAAAGATAGTTTTCCTTGTGCTAGTGCCAAACATCCATTAACATAGATATTTGCAAGTAAAATTATAATTCCAGTAAGTTCCAGTAATTATAATAATGTTTTGCTATGCCAACAATTTTTCCAGTTGCTGTGTGTTCTGTTGCACCTATATGGATCACAAAAAGTCTATGTTTACAAATTACACTAGTTTTAGGATTAAACCGAAAGGTCCACTGATTAATCTCACATAAGATATTATAATACTCCAAGTATCGAAATGCACGCCATCGTGTTGGGAAACAATATTTCGACATTAGTTACGTCTCATCATCAGGAATGAAAAATTATCTATATTTGCAAGCTTATATGCACAAAACCGAAAGGTCCACTGATTATTCTCAGACAAAAAAGTATAATACATACTCCAAGTATCGAAATGCACACCATCGTGTCGGGATTTAATATTTCGACAATAATTATGTCATCATCAGGAATATAACCGGTATGTATAATGTATATTGAAAATGTATATTAACTTAATAATAATCATTATCATCGGCAACAACAACAGCAAACATCATCACCATCACCATCATCATCATCACCACCGCCACCATAATCATCACCATCATCATCAAAAACAATAATCAACATCATCATCACCATCATCATCATCATGACCACCACCACCAACAACAACAACAACCAACATCATTACCATTATCTTTATTTTTATCTGTATTACTATTACCTTATAAACATAATGTTAGACCTATCTCTATTTATTTATTTCCAATAGGATCCACAAATTACAATAAGTCTAAATTGCTTCGGACTCACAACTTGCATAGGATCGAGTCTGGTTTCCCCCTGGACATTTTCCCCCGGACATTTTCCTACGGTATATTTAGGTCCCGGTCTTTTGCCAAAATACCGGGGAAAAATATCCAGGTGGCACCAGCCTGCTTCCAATTGCGTACATAAAATTTCAAAAGAGAAAAGAGAGAGAGAGATAAAGAAAGACAATCAAAAACAATTAAAGAAGAAAACAAAACAGCGACGATAAAAATATTTAAAAAAAACAGTTGGAAAACAAATCAATACAGAGATTACAGAGAAATGATATATTTACAAGTATTTACAAATTTTATATTTATAAAAATATGGTTTAATATTAAGTAGCAAAAATTAGTGGAATTAATATTAGGAAATAAAATGTGTACACATTTCGAATAATGAAAATAATGTGACTATTCTTAGGACCTGGATAGATTAATTAAGCTTCATAAACGTGTTGTCAGAATTATTGATTTAGCTTCATTTGCATCGTCTTCTGAACCTCTATTTAAAAAACTAAATATATTAAATATTATGGATCTAAACAAATTACAAGTTACTTCTTTTATGTTTCGATACATAAAAAGTCAACTCCCAACCTCTATATTAGTTTTATTTCATGATTATAAACCTACACACAGTTATTATTTAAAAAATTCAAACTCACTTCAGTTCCTTTTGTAAGACTAATTAAAAGCCAATTTTTTATTTCTGTATACGGACCGAAATTATGGAATGATACTCATGTTAAGTTTAAAAATTGCAATAGAACCCATAATTTTATAAATCAGATGAAGAAATATTATTTAGAAATGTACCAATCTTAACTTTTTCGAATTATTTTAGTATGTATATTCTGTGTGAATTATGTGGTTGTGTGTGTGTTTACGTATGTTTGTGTGTATGTGTATTAATGTATATGTATGTATGTATGTATGTGTGTGTGGGTGTACGTGTGTGTGTATACATGTATATGTGTACATATACATGTGCACGTATGCATATAATATATGTGTGTGCATATATATATATATAATTATATAAATGTATATATACTTGATATGCGTTTTTTTTTTTGTTATTAGTTTTTTTTTTAACTTTTTGTCTTGTCGGGGTAAAATTGAGACAAGATTTGCTTCTATTTTTTATCCTAATTAATTAATTTTAATATTGTCCACTTTATCAATTTATGTATTTTTATTAATTAGTTTAATAAATTTTAATTGAATTTATATATATGTATATATATATATATATATATAAAGAAGTTAATACACATTATAAATATACATTACATGTATATATACACCGTATATATATCCTTATACACACATATATATATATATATGTATATATTCCTATATAAAAATCAAACCGTCTTTATATATAACATAAATAATGAGAAACGAATACCATGTGTATACAGACTTCGGAAACACTTTAGTAGAGAAAACCAATATTTTTAGACCTATCCTTAGGTATACTTAAATATATATACATTATATAATAAAGTATATATTTTAAATATACATATATATGTATATACATTTAAATATATATATATAGGCCTGTGTATATATATATTATATACATGTATAAAATCATTATATAATAGGTAAAATCTAAACCATGTTATATATAAATATAATAGGAAATGAATACTATATAACAATATGGACTCAGAAAAACTTTATTGGAAAAAAATTTCAGTATATTTAAATATATGCCTAGTATATATACATATATATAATAATGTACATTTGATATGTCTATAAATCAGCTGTATGTTCATATCGTTATTATAATTTTTTTTTGTTATGCTTTTTTTTTTTATTACTATTTTAATATTATTGCTATTAATATTGTTTGTATTATTGTTAATGAAAACAGAATAACAAAGGTAAGACTTAAAACACTTTAATTTTGGCATAGTTTGGCTTTGCATTCATATTTTTTTGGTACCGTATTATTTCGTAAATATACAGTGATTTGGGGCCGAGTTGACTTGGGACCGAGTTGTCATGGAGCCGAGTTGACATGGGGCCGAGTTGATTTGGGGCCGAGTTCACCTGCTTCCGCCCCATGAACCGAGTCGCATTTAGAATATTTTAATGGGAAAGCCCTTTAATGATGTATTAAATCTTAATACCGTAATTAAATATTAATTTGTCGTCACACATGAATGTATAATGTTTTATGTTATTATCCACAAAGAAATAAAGGAGATACACGAACATGCAGTGAGGCCTACGTAGACATGTAGGCATTTACTTTGTGTTTTAATTTTAATGTATTGTAGCCTTTTGACGTATTATTATTTGTTAATCTTGTCATTTGTCCACAGGTATGTTGGTGGTAGAATATCGTTAACCAGGGCCGCGAAAAGGACATCATGTATTAATTATTGGCATTGTTATTGTAAATGTTATGGTACGGTTCACATAGTAGGCCTAATGTTTTCAATGTTTTACGTATTTATACAACTATAATAATAATAATAATAATAATATTTATTCGGCAGAGTAAAAAGTATACATACAATATTCTTGCCAGGAGTAAGTAATAGGCATAAGCCCAAACAGTGAACTGCTCTTACTCCATCATCAAAAACAAATACAATGACAATACAATATAAATATATACAAAAAAGTAAATTCAAAATAAATAAAATAAATAAATAAATGGGCCCAACGTTGGTGGAAATGCAAGAATTAAACTGAACTAAATATATAAAATAAAATATTAATCCCGCATGCCGTCTTTGAGATCCTCAAAGATGATCCTATCATCTTTCGAATCACAAATACATTCTTGTTATTGATTTTCGGACCTTTCAAAGACTTTGGTTTATGAATGCTGACCATCTCTAATTTCGGTTTCCCCGTTCAATCTGAAAGCTAGTTTCTATGTATTTATATATAATATCAAAACTATATTTTACTATGTTGAAACAAATTCATGTGGTTGTTCAAAACCAGATAAAACCCCCAAAACCCCTATAACCTATATTTTACTTTGTTTCCATTTATTTGTGTATTTTATAAACATGATTAGCAGACAGCAGAAGATTCGAAGTTCTGCCATCTATTTTAACATTATTGACAGTTTGCAAAATTGGTCTATACTATTGTTTAAAGCTTCAAAGGGAGCTTTGTTTTTGTAGGTAGCTTTGATCAGTTGGGTAAGGATGCTTTGATCTTTAGTTTATTCATAGCTATGTCTCCTACTAGGGGTAATGTTTTGATTAGTCCAACACTTTTGGTACTTGTGCATATAAGCTTGCAAATATGGATAATTTTTCATTCCTGATGATGACATAATTAATGTCGAAATATTGAAATAATGTTAACTTAGACATATCTAATTAAATAAAGTCTCCATAGTCTTGTATTTCTTGTACAGTTCATAATATAATGCTATAAAAAATGTTGTTGAACAAGGTCAATTGAAACACAATCCGTATTTTCATGATCTTTGTAAGAATCAGCAGAAAAACGACTAGTTGAAAAATAGCCCAATTTTGGAAAAAACACAAAGCTCAGAGTTTTTGTTGAAATTGGACAATTTTTTTACCCTGCCACTTTCCGGATGTTTTGTGTTCTGTGGCACCTATGGATCATTTCTCTCGAACTGACGCCATAAGTTTTGATCTGTTGATTAAAAGCAAAATTGTGACTGGTGCGGAATTTTGTTGAGCCTGAAAAAATGTTCCAGCATATTCCATCTGTTTCTCAAAAATATTATATATTAATTTATTCGTTAACAATTGTAATAAAAGGCAAAACATATCATGTATGTCTGGTTCATGAGTTTATTTATTCATTTATTCATGAGATATATCATTTCAGTTGTAAACATTTGCAAAAAAAAAATGCTAAGGCCATCTGATTAACACTATTCACATAAATGTCCTTTTTATATCACCCTTAATAACTTTACAATCACAATTTCCTGCACATTTTCTCTTTTTTCTTAAAAAAAAAGAAGAAAATAACTACTAAAATTAAGATTTTAATGTATTTCAGCATGTATCTTCAATGGACATCGGAATGAACTTTTAAACAAGTTTTATTATTTACATCCAACAGTTTGTTACATTAACAATGGTGATTTATCAATAAAGATTTGTTTGTAGTCACTATTGCCCACTATTGACCACACAAACCACCAAATAGCACTAGTAATCGCCACATTGCTCTGTTGTGATACGAGATACGAGAAGCTTTATTGCAATTTTTTATGATAAAAAATTGAAGTTGATATTGGAGAGTTGTTATTGGAGAGAAATTTAATGTGTGGGACAACATGATTACATACAATAAAACTGCAATCAGATACCAGATTATTAATGGAATAAATTGTCTGAAATTCCCTTTTAAACTCAATCATTTATGTTATTGAATAAAATATTGAAAATATGATATTAGAATTCCTTATAAATAATATGCCTTATGCAATATTCAACTTGTTGCAAAATGTTCATATTTTACCAGCAATGATATACATACTACACCACGTTATTCATTCAATACAGATCTGAAAGAACTGGTACTTTACAGCATTCTCAAAGTAAACACTGCCCTCACCAGCAAACTTGTCATCAACAATACAGTTTTTACAAGATATTAACATTATTATAATTATTAACATTGTAATAGTACATTTCAATGGTGTTACCAATATATCACACTTTGCTGTTTGTCAATTGTTTCTCATAAAACAAAGGGGAAAAGGTATTATTTCTGATACACAGTTATTGAATTCAGATGCAAATATACAAACATTATTAAAAATCATAACATGCTTAACAATATACTGTATTGTATATGAACACGAGGCAGACGTGACAGATACAGAAAAGTGTAGGGGTGGGGAAGGTGGGAGAGCTTGATGCTAATTACACTTCATATACAGTATAACACCTCTTAATTCACTTTGGTTATTAATACTAATCTCTTGGAAATAAGAATAAAAAAAACATATGGTACAGCCTTAGTAAAATGGCTTTCACCAGACAAGACACTAAAACGGTAATTGACATTCAAATTGTTAATAAAGAAGTGCAATCACAAATTAACTCAGTAGCTAGGTAGGAGTATTTTTTGTGTGAATAACACCAAGAATAGCCCACTAAATCCGAAGACTTCTTTCTAGTGGGGTCTTTCTGGGGATGAATTGGGCAGCACACCAGGAGACAATCACTTAATATAATAATAAATAATACAATACACCATCAACTAACTAAAAACTAAAATTTCTGAGGCACTTAAAAGAATTAATTGACAAATTTTGAAGGTTGGTACAATAGTTTTTAAAACATACATATTTTTTTTATACAATTATGTATTATGCTAACATCTGAGATAAACAACCTTCAAAATGTTTCCAAACATTTTTATCTTTGTTTGCTTGATTGAGGGATATGTACTAGACCTGCGTTCACACTATATCATTTGAGACTGCAGAAAGCGGTACTGATAAGTGTAAGCAAGTGTTCACAAGGCTTGTCCCTAGCATGTAAGATTTATAGTGTAACTCTTGATGCAACCATAACTACTGTAATTGACCTTCCCAGAGTCTTAATCAAGTGACAAATCAGGACAAGGCCAGGAATATGCGCATGTCTTACAAATATGTGTTGTCCCATGCTACTGTTTTGTGGTATGTTAGCAATATCATCTAAGGGACAAGGCTTAGAAAAAAGGTCCGTTGTCATTGACAACAATTTGCTGACGGACTCTGCTATTATCAGTTTGCTGATTAATTTAAGTAGTTTCAAATGTCCAATGGTTTTATAGTAAATTTTCAAATAACAGTTTGCAACACAAATTAAAATCAAGAAATTAAACAATATTTACAAAAATCTAATTATGACTGAAACATAACACTTGATGCATAGGTTCGTTGGAAGCCACATATCAACTACTGTCAATAAGCTTTCAAGTGGATTTGTGCATTCACTCTAGATACTTTGTGCATTAGCAGAATTGGGACCTACATACTGTATGTGTATTGTAGGTGTCCATGCAATAATGTTTAATTACATCATATGCAATAATGACATCATAATTTGACCTTTGACATCACATCACAATTTAACCTTTGATATCATAGGCAATTATGGCATCATAATTTGATGTCTGACATCACAGGCAATCATGACATCATAATTTGACCTTCAATAGAATTTTCCTGCATATCCAATTAATTAAATTTATTAATACTAAATAATGCATGGTTTTATCGTGATCATTTTGATTCATAACATGTTGTTCAACGCTTTTTCCCCCTTGCCCTGTGCTTCCCAGCCCGTATTACTTTCCCTTTCTTTAGGTTATCACTTTCAGGTTCACTACAGGTCACTGCCTTCCCACTTGCCATGTCCTTCCTAATATCAATTACTTTTGCCTTTGTTTAGTTTAATACTTTGGGATGCAGCATAGCATCGTCCACTACTTTCTCACTTGTCCTGCCTGCACTGATATCAATTTACATTCCCTTCCTTAAGGTCATCACTTTAAGAATCTGGCACAGCACTGGCCCTCCATTTCACTTGCCAACCCATTCCCAATATCAGTTTACTTTCCCCTTCTACTGTATTATGGTCCCACCCTTTCTCTCCTGCCCTTCCCTATATCAGTTCTACTTTCCACTTCCTTTAAGTTTATCAGTCAGTATTCTTTCCATTATTTTATTACTGCTCACAATAAAAATTACCAGAGTAGTAAGTCAGCCTCATGCATACCACATTTAGTGTGACTGGTGTACACATAGTAAAGAGGAACATTCATTTCCAGAAGGATCATTCAACTCAGATACCTCATTCAATAATCTTATTAACAGAATGCTATTTTATACAAATTTTTTGTGGCACTTATTATGAAATTATCAGTTGCATTATTGGTTGCAAATTTAGAATGAAACCATAGTTTTACTTTACTCAAGATACTAGGAAAACCTTATCTACTAAAAACAAATATATGACAAATATTCAAATAATATTACATACCATAAAACCTAAAATTGAAGCCCAGTGGGCTTAATCTTGAGATGGAGCCCATCTCGAATTGAAGCCCCCTCTTTAGTTTGTGAAATTAGCCTTGAAAAGAAGCCCGGGCTTCTTTTCAAGACAGCACAGGCTTCTTTTCGAGACAGTACAGTGTGTACACCGTACATGAATTTCAAAAAAATAAAAGGTGTTTTATTCAGTAGTTTAGGTAATTTTAATGTCAGTCAGTTACACTCCATGATACATATTGACGTTACAGTGGCCGTATTTATTGTTTTATGGTACAAATTCACAAAATTTACAGCACTCATTTAGAAAAGAAGCCACCCTCTTTACTTTGCAAAAGTAGCCTTGAAAAGAAACCCATTTAAAGTTTGCAAAAAAAGAAGTCCAGGGCTTCAATTCAAGGTTTTATGGCATGATTATTATTGGTCGAAAATTCAAAAATTCCAACATTTAATTTGTTATAATTTAAACTCAATACTGATATACTGTATAAGACCTACTGCCTACACTAACATCACTGTCGGGTATTCTAATTTGTTGGAAATATTTTAAAGTGAAACAAAAATATAAAATAAACCATTATATTGAATAAATTAAAACAAACTTAACTAACACACTAATTCAAACACTAAGCTAAATTTCAAGCATTGGTATCTAGGGAAAATAACTATACTAATACTTCTTTACTTTAAAATTAATCAACAACATTTATAATTATCTTTATTGTTGCAGCATGGTAAAAGGTTTTCCATGATCAATCATTTATTATAAATATGTCATATCTTGGTAACCTTAACATTACAAGAGCCAAAATATTGATCCAAATTTTCAATTCCTACATTGAGCAGTACAGTACTGACATTCTACCGCTTCAAAGCCAAGGTTTACTCCTTAAAATTGAGTTCCACTCTTATCCACAGCGACCATCACTCTCATCAATGGTGATGCTCACTCGTATCCATTGCTTCCAGTGAATGACTGTTTCCCCCCATTTTGGTTAACTCCTCGTCAAATGCAAATTGTAGTGAGTGTTGCCGCATTGCACTGAAAAGATATTAACATAAATTTATTATGTAAAATCTCATCATTATACCTCTGGGATCTCACAGCAATGTGGAATTAAAAACTGGTCTAAATGTAATTATATTTTTATATGAATGTCTTTATTGTCTATTTTATTGTTGATTGTACAAAAAAAAAAAAAGATTGAAAAAAAAAAAAAAAAAAAAAAAAAACCAGAAAAATAATGAAATAAATTGAATTTTTTTCTCCAAATATTTTCCATCTTATTGGTTAGATGCCAACTCATCACAAAAATGGATTATACATAGATTGATAAAGTAATTACATGTATGTTGCAATAATGAATTTTCATAAAAGAGATATTGACAATTATCAGACTTCATGTTCCCTTTGAGATTGCAGTACACCAAGAGATCCCCTACTCTTTTCCGAAAAGAGTATATTTGTGTTCTTTAACGTGCACATAGACCATATTGCACATAGGGCCAACGACTTAAACGTCTCATCCGAAAGACGGTACATAATTGAACTTGCATTTCAGCCCTTCAGCTGAAACATAAGGAGAGCAGCGATGGGAATTGAACCGGGGACCAAGAGATCTCCCCTGTTCAGCGCACACACAGTGGCTACCACCAGTTTAGCCAACTGAGCTAAGCAGGATAGAGTAATGAAATCTTGACCTTAAAGGTTATTCACATAATTCTATATGCATAAGTAATAAGCATTTCAGCATTGTAATACCTGAATGGGTTTCTTGGGCTCTGATGCGTTATCTTTCTAGGAGATCTTGGTTTCAGAATATCTTTTTGTATACATTCCAACACTGATGGAGCGACATAAGTAAATCCCTGAAAAAAAAGGAAAAGCACTGCTTCTTTAATTAAGTCAATGTCTGATTCTTGCATGAAGTAGGAGGATTAAAACCATGTACCTGTAATGCCTAATCTCCTCTGTATAGATGAGCAATTGTTTCTGGCTACAGAATACATTATAGTATGGAAATGGCAATTTCCAGAATAGGGATTAAATCAAGTGATGTTTATATTGTGTATTGATGTCTACTCACCTCGGCATAGATGAATTGTTTCTGGCTACAGAATACATTATAGTATGGAAATGGCAATTTCCAGAATGGGGATTAAATCAAGCGATGTTTACACAGTGTATTGATGTCTACTCACCTCTGTATAGATGAGGAATTGTTTCTGGCTACAGAATACATTATAGTATGGAAATGGCAATTTCCAGAATAGGGATTAAATCAAGCGATGTTTATATTATGTATTAAAGTTAATCAGGATGTAAAGCCCAAAAGAATAAAGCAGAATGCAATGTAAACACTGTACTCAAACAAACTCTAGCAAGTTAATAGCACAATGGTGTCAATGCACTCAAACATTCAAATAATACATAAGTATGTTATATTATTTTTAATAAAATTCTCTAGGAAAGAAGGGAACATTGTTTTGTATTTCGGTGTATAGAACATGATGCACATGATGTAATTGTAGTATTCAATATGATATACTTTGTTTATACAAATATAATTTTATACATAAATACTTTTATATACACTAATAACATCCTGTATTAGCATTTTACATTGCTCAATGAAATGAATAAAGTAATGCATACCAAAAATATTGTTTGCATAACTATGAGCCTGTCTCTTATACACATCTAGATGTGTATACTCCTGCAAACTTGTACTATTTGCATGTTTTTACTACCTCATTACCAATTGTCTCACAGAAGTCAGTGCTGATGGTTATCATTATGTGCAGCAAAATAAAATAAAATATGTTAAGAAAGCTCATTTAATCAGTTCTCCCCTAAGGGATTTCTTCTAAAATGGATTGTGGATATCAATATTATCATATAAAAATTTAAAAAAAACCCCACACAATTGCATCACTAGGAGAAGCTGATGATGTTTATACCTATGTAGACTACACCCAGTTTCTAATTCATAATACACAAAAGCTGATACAAAGACACTCCTAGCACTGCAGCAGAAACCTATTGTAGACCAGCATCAAGACAAACACCCCATTGTCGACCACCCCTACCTTACAATGGTATAATCCATTTTTGGGTGGCTTTGGACAGGGGTGGCTTTGGACAGGGGTGGCTTTATTCCGATTTCCGGATATTTTGTGTGAAGTCTAACCCATCCCGATCTACCAACGACTTGATCAACTATAAACATACCTTTCGTATAAGATCCTTTGCTTCTGGTGTCAAGTAAGGAGGAAGAACTAACTTTCCTTTCAAAATCTATAAAAATAACAATGATAAATGTTAATGTCAGTAATTAAAGAGAATTGTATTCTAGTTATTTTATAAACTAAATCCCTGTCCAGAATTCTAAACTGTTGCCCCATATAGTCATCATGTGCCTGCCTATATGTTATTTTATAGTTTTGTGTATATGCATTGAATTTGTGAAATAAAGTTTATACATACGGTCATGATGTGATGTCATGAGAGAAATCCTATTAGCTCTGAGGATTTGAACTCAGGCCACTGTGACTAGAAGGCAAAGTACCTTAACCACCAAGCAAATGATCCACAATAATGAAACTGTTGATTTGATATCTACCTTTGCATTTAATCAGTAAGTAAAGACTTTTGCATATGCTGTATATCTATTGAGACCACTATAATATTAAGGTATTATTAATATATTAATTATATTTTCTTCTAAAACTCACCTTTTCAATAGTTTTTTTCCTATTATCCGTAGTAAATGGTGGCTAAAAATAGAATACAAATACACTTGTTTATTATATATTATCGCATTATAAATAAAAAGCAGCAAAATGTTTACATGTATTTTGTAATTGAAGTACCACCTAGAGAGAGAGAGAAAGCAGCTTAGCTCAGTCGGCTAATCTGGTGGTAGCCCCTGTTTTTGCGCTGAAATGTGGAGATCTCTAGGTGCCCTGTTCAATTCCCATCGCTGCCTCTCCTTGTGTTTCAGCTGGAGGGCTGAAATATAAGTTATAACGCACCGTCTTTCGGATGAGACGTTTAAGCCGTTGGTCCTGTGTGCATTTATGTCCCATGTGATGTTAAAGAACGCAGTACACTCTTCGGAAAAGAGTAAGGGATTGTCTCCCAATCACCACCAGAGCACCCCACTGGAAAGAAGTCTTCTTCTAGACTTTCGTGGCACTATTCTTGGTGTTTACATCAAATAAATTTAATCAACACATAACATCATATTATTTTTAATAAAATTCTCTAGGAAAGAAGGGAACATTGTTTTGTATTTCGGTGTATAGAACATGATGCACATGATGTAATTGTAGTATTCAATATGATATACTTTGTTTATACAAATATAATTTTATACATAAATACTTTTATATACACTAATAACATCCTGTATTAGCATTTTACATTGCTCAATGAAATGAATAAAGTAATGCATACCAAAAATATTGTTTGCATAACTATGAGCACCAAGGAAGATTGTATACCTTGTGTTGCACACACAAAATCGTTACTAGTCAAATATACATTTTTAATAAATCACAGATAAATAAATAAACTTATAGTGGGCAGATCGACGATGCACACTGACGCATAACCCAAGTGGGGTCCTCTGTCAGTATATATTCATATTCAAAAGATATACTTACAGCTCCCACAAGCATATCAAACATTAATGCCCCAAGACTCCACCAATCAACAGCTTTTGCATGACCTGTCCTCGTTAATATCTCAGGTGCCCTGGTTAAACAAACAAACAAAAAAAAAACATTGATTCATCAATCAGAAAAATATACTTAGTAAACAAATATATGTAAATGTCTGCTAGAATTATTAGTGTTTATAATGGTAATGTGGAATGCCAGAGGCATACTGTATATGGTTACAAGAGGTCATTTATTATTATAGGTCTGTCAAGTGATAAAAATCAGAAAATACATTACAGTAGTAATATTTTTGGTTGGTATTACATTTAAAGAGGATTGATAAAAACATAAAACAAAAATTCAAGTTAAAAAAAAATTACAATAAATTTCCTAAGATATCCTTCACAATAAAGAAAAATCAACATATATATTTTTTGGAAGGAGATGAATTTATTTAACTTAATAGGGACATTGCTTTTGAATAAGCACCTATCAATAAAAGCATTCATCAAGATATATTCTACAGTACTGTGAATGAATATCAAGGCATAAACCTAACACGCTTTGATTTTCTTGTAGTTGGAATACTAAAGTATAATATTGAATAACCGATTAAAATGAGTTCTTGATGATTTACAATCCTTCAAAAAGGCATGTATAATAAATCATAAAATTGGGATAGTAATTATTTGTTCATCTGTTAACAATTGAAAGCTAACTAATTACTTAATATAAGCACATACTTAATTATACAATGTAATAAGCACATAATTAATTATACAATATAAGATTAACAAACAATTCAGATACTATAGTTTGTAGTGTTAATGAATATTAAATGCAGTAACTAATATACAGGTATTTTTAATGGTTAAATCATCATCATAACAAAAATCTTGTGAACATTGTTTATATTTATTACACATTATAATTTAAATTTGTAGAATTTTCAGAGTTGTTGAATCATCGAAATTCTGATACTGATTATTTTCATATGCAATAAAAAATAATAATTGTAATAAACTCATTAAAAACCAATGTAACTTACAGAGTATTTTAATGATTTAATACTGATGAACCTTTCTAATTTTCGTCCATGTGATTAGCTTATAGATTTTGTAATTTATTTTTTATTATATTTAATAATTATGCAGAAATATTTCTAACACTAAATGTTTTTAGAAAAATAAACTTAATTGAACAAAAGATAGTTTTCAACTTATATATCAAAACCTAATAATTTCCATTTAAAAACGTAATAAAAATAAGAAAACTAACCATACATTGATGTTAAATCTACTGTAAATGTCAAATTTAAGTCATATAAAGAGACGATAACAATATTCAATTATATAAGCTATGATTATACTGTGGTTTAGTTGTTGCTAAGTAACATATCCTTCCCCAAGGATGCAAACAAGCGCTCAAATTGATTTGAACCCTGATCTTTCAATTGAAAGCCTAAAGCCTTACTGTTACACCATATTTGCCACACACAGTAATTCAAACCAAAATTGTTTCATCTATATAATCTTGTTTTGCTTTGATAGGCAAGATATGTCTAAAGGGCTCAATTCACCAGGCATACTGTGAACTTTATCAGGTATATTATTTGCTGAGTACCGATGACAGATAACAGGCCGATCAAGATAACTCAACGTGCATTCAATTTGTTTCAACATGGTAAATTATTAAAAATAATGACATTTGTAATAATTGAATATTGTTACAGTATTTATTTGTATTCAACTCTGTTTTGTCTGACATAAAATTGATGGATAACAATACATTTAAATTCTATCAAACAATGAACAACCAAAAAAAATAACAATAGAACATCAGATATTATCAGATATTTGTCAGATACATGTGATAAAATCAAAGGACTGATGTGCCTATAATAACAACCATCCCACAAGGTTGGCAGGCACCTATATAATATTGCAAGAACTTTTCTGCCTATAACAACCATGTTGGCAAGTGTCCACATCTGTATGTCATTACAGTACATAATATCCAAGCTTGTTTCAAGGAATAAGTTGCCATAACAACCTTGTTACCGTGACTGGCAAGTGTACAGTAAGCATGTGTCATGAGATAAAATTCAAGCATAATTGCAAGTTGCCTTTAACAACCATATTAAAAGCATGGCAAGGTCTGTAGTTGGTGGTAACAAACATCATGTGTTTGCTCATGTCTTTACTGTATCCAACATAAAAATAGCTATAGTTCTCATGAGCAACAGGAAAATATAAAACACCACCCCCAGAAAAGTTACTCTTAAAAATTACAGTACAGTAGAATCTTGATTTTTCGTATGGTACGGGACCAGAGGGCGTACGTAAATTGGGGGATTCGTAAAATTGAGGTTGGGTTAAATTTGGGTAACAATGTTACCTAGGCTAGGCCTACGAATAGTGTTTAGTGTTTTTATTCATCACTTTACGATGTCACAATAAGGTGTTCAAATAAAACCATGTGTCTAGTGTGTATTAATTCATTACTTTATATCTTTAATTTAACTAAAGAACATGAAACTATTGTAAGATTACTAATACAACAAAGGTATAACTTGGGAATTCCCCTTCATGGCTATTCTAAGCAACAACTACGGTGCTGTCTGGGCCTGCTGAAACCATGTGCACTGTACTGGGTGAGCCAACTAATTAGCGTTCATGTATGTGAACCGAAAATCATGTGCACTGCACTGAGTGAGCCAACCAATTAGCGTTCGTGTACAAAATTATGCCTACCCAGCTTAGTAAACTTCGTGTAGAAAATTTGATCAGACGAGTTTTCCATATGAAGGTAAAGGAGGAAAGAAATTATTTTGAGCACCATTGGTAGTTGTTCATCTCGCTCAGTTCACATGTTTTAGATTATAACAGCCCGGTAATAGACTCAATCAACGCTGCTGTTATGAAAATACTTTGCATATATGGTTTGTTTATTGTTATAGTACTGAAATAATAAGCGGACAGAAAGTAACAAATTTGTCTTTTTACTTACAGTGGCCCTGAAAAGGGCCATTTGTTTTAAATATTTTCGGTGTTTTTTTAAGACGTCATCATCAGTACGAGGCATATACGTAAAACCAAGGGTTCATGTAACTGGGATATGTAAGAATGAGGTTCTATTGTACATGTTACATTTTGTAGCATCATTATTGGCTGAGATGTCGTTATACTTCCAATGACGTCCATCGCCAAGAGCATTAGAGCTCCTGTAACCTGTAATCAATTTAATTTCTCTATCAATAAATGATACTCACATGTATTCAATAGTTCCACAGAATGTGTGAGTCATGTCGCCCTCCTCCACAGATTCTTTACATAAACCAAAATCTGTCAACACTACATGACCTGCAAGATTTGAAATTAATTGCGAGATCTGATAAGCACTAGAAACTTAATTAACAGCAGCAATAGTAGAAATAGGGTGACGTCTGTTTCGTGTAGAGTGTCCAATCTTGTGAATAAAAGTCAGATATCACAAACTAATAATGCTATAGGGATAAGATGAAATCTGTCTTGTGTAGAATTTTATAAGTGTGTTCAATCGAATTTAATGGCCAAGTTTAGAAAATGTACTACAGTATCAAAAAGAAATGTTGTAGAGATGTTGTAGGGTAAAGTCTGTTTTGAATACAGTTTACAATAACGTGTCTTATTTTGAGATTGTGCAATAAAACTGAATGTGCAAAATGTACAAAATCACAAATGGCAATGTTGTGGGAATACTGTATCATGAAGCCTTTCTTTGTGTAGATGTCGTCAGTGATTCAAAAAGTATGGTATGCAATCAGTGAACAAATGACACAGCTTGGCATTTATACAAGATCATGAACTGTAATACAGATAAAGTGAAGTCTATCTGCAGAGGTCTATACTGATTCAATTAGTGTCCAATCTTGAGGATGAATGGCAAAATTGGCAATTGTACAAGATCACAAGTTTAATAAACTGTATAAGTCTATTTGGAGTAGTGTTTGAAAGTGATTCATATAGTGTCTAATCTTAACAATGAATGGGAAGATGGAATAGAAAACTTGGAAAATGTACATCACAAAACTATACTACCTTAGTTCCTCAGGTAAGTGGCGGCTCTAGGATATAATTTATAGGGGACTAAGATGTCCGACTGGGGGAGCTAAGTATTTATGGGTGTAAATATAGCGCACAGCGTTATCTGAGGGCCGAAGGCCTAAACCAGGGGTGGGCATGCCCTCCCAAAACAAGTTTTTTTTTTTTTTAAATGGGACTTCTAGATGGCTGGAAATGGCTGGGATGGGAAAACTAGGCCTAATTGTTTTTTTTGGTCCGACTGCCAGATGAGCTTTGGCCGAGGGGTGGGGCCCCCCCATTGGCCAAGGCACATCTGGCAGACTGATGGGGGGACTTAAGCCTACCTGCCCCCCCCCACCACTGGTGCCGCCACTGCCTCAGGTTAAGCTCATCTCAGGTATAAGGCCACCCCTTACTTTACCCCTAATTTTACGTACCAGCCTTTCCTTAAGCAAAAACTCAGGGTAATAATTTGAATGAATAGCTTAGCTGACGTTTACAAAATATTCAAATATAAAAAAACAAAAAAAAAACATATCAAATATTGACTTTGAATAAATAGGCATGCGATGTTGAAAAATTGCATTTTGACTGAAAAGGGGATTCTCCAAGTATGAGCCCATCCCCCAAAATCAGCCCAATTTTGTGCTCAAGAGGGATAGGCTTACACTAGAGGAACTATGGTAATAACAAAAAAAAAATATATATTTTTATAAAAAATAAGTACTTGATTATAATGAATTAGTTACCTTGGGCATCCAGCATAATGTTTTCTGGCTTGAGATCTCTGTAGATGATCCCTTGTTTATGTAGATGCTCAAGAGCAAGTACTATTTCAGAAAGATAGAAACTAGCTGTGTCCTCCAGGAATATACCCTCCCTCTCAAGATGCATGAACAGTTCACCCCCTGTAGTAGTAGTAATAATAACAAAAATAATAAATTATAAATCATTCGAATATGTGACATTTATAAAGTGCTCTACTGTACACCAGAAATCCAATTGCAGATATAATTTTATAAATTATAATTATAAAACAGTATTAGATATTTTAGATGTGTAAAACCTAATTTTTTGTGCATTATAAAATGAGTAATTATGATAAATATAAATCTAAAAAACAACACGTTATATTGGAATAATGGCTTAAAGTACTGTACTGTAGGTCTATATACACAAACAATATTGTGATTGAGCAAATACACTTTTGGGCACAATAATACCTTGAAAGTGACCTTGAATTACAAAAATGATATTCTATCTAATTATTTTACTCTAGTGTCACTAGATTTGTTTTAGTTTATTAGCTTTGACAATTAATTTATTAATAATTTTGCAGATCTGAAAAAAAAGCTCCTCATTCAAAGAAACAACACTGAGCAATTAACAGCCTTCTTGTATTAAAATACACATTTATAGAACAATTAATGATTTTAATATCTCACAGAAATTTGTTCCTGTGTTAAAAAAAAATAATTCTTCAATCTTTTAAATTTTAGTTTGAAAAATACAATTTCTTTCTGATCCAATAGTCACCAATTTAATAAATTTTTCACTCAATACACACTTATTGCTGTATAAATAATAAGAATTGACATACCACTTAAATATTCTAAAATAAGGTAAAGTTTGCCACCAGTTTGAAAGGCGTAGATTAAATCCACAATGAAGGGATGTTTGACAGCTTCTAGTATATTCCGTTCAGCCTTAGTGTGAGCTGTGTCCTTTTGATTGCGTACAATGCTCGCCTGCAAGTAATTCAAACAAACTATTATTATTATTATATTATTATTATTATTTAAAAAAAAAAAAAATTATTATTATCACTACAATAACCATATTAAAAAATCAAATATTACAGATTAGTGACATTATAATAATATAAACAATTTCAGTTGCGGATCCAAGGGGTTCAGGGTGTTTGGTCGAACCCCCCCCCCCCGCTCGGAAGTAACGTAACAAAATACTACTGAGTCCTGGCTTACAAAGGGCATGCTAACCTACTGTACCTAGGCATACAGTAGGTTGGCAGATCAGACAAATTAGCCTTAGCTCAACTAGCCTTCAATACTGTATTAATAAAATTAAAAACACCGTTTTTGGTTCGACGATGGAATAATTTATGTAGGAAAGTGCGTTGTTCATGCTATCGGTTCATCCATCCATGGAAGAAAGACTATTGTACATATCCAACTACTGTATCAATAGTGTTGGAATATAATAATATATTGCCTATATCTTTGATTTTTTTTTCTTTATAGGAAGAGATAAAATTACCTCACCTTTTTTAAGAGGGAGAAAACTTTGAATTTTGAAGAACTTAAAGGTCATTCGAAGACACCTCAGAAGTTGGGAAAGCTCATTTCTGGCCATCTAGGGCCATCCATGGTTTTTTAAAGAAATATTTTGAAACCCCTTCTTTCAAATCCTGGATCCGCCACTGAATTTAACAACAAATAGGAAATAGAATTATTAATCATTTAGAAACCATGATACAGGTGAGTGGAGCTTGTTTCATTTAAAAAAAAAAAATCATGATATATCATTAATAAAAACATACTTTAAAAAACGCTACATTAATACATTGTAGTTGAATGTTATTTACGATGAAACCACATGTAAATCTGCACATTTGTTATCCAATGTGTGGGTTACGCAAATGTTATGGGTATATTATACACTAAGCCATATAATGATTCAGTGTACTTTAATGCATAATCAGCCTAGTACAGTAGTAATTCTAAAATTGATCTTACATCATTCAAAAAGAGTAAAACTTTCTCTCCCTCTCCCTCCCCACCCCACCCCTCTTTCAAAACCTTGGTCAATTAGAATTTTTTCTTCCAAGGATATTTTCTGTGTAATCTAATGCCCAAAACTAAAAGAATAAATGAAAATCAATCAATACAACAAGTGTCAGTAGAAGGGAGTAACCAGGGTAAACTGGGGGTTTTCCCACCAACATTAAGGCAAAGTTGCCTCTCCTATGAGTACATAACCTTCTAATTGAAAAATATTATCTTCCTGGTGTACAGGTAATACAATGCTTCTAAAGACATAATCACAAGACTTAAATCACCTTTTTTTCTCTATGAGTGAAGCATTGAAAGGTTTCAATTTCATGTGTTTCTGGTGATATTTTGGTTTCACTTTCAAAGAACAAGGGTGAGGGATTGATTACTCAGTTTAGCTTCCTTCAGTTTCAAAGGAATAAAGACAGGCATATACAGTTAGGTATGACTCATTGATTGTTAGTTATAAAGAAGAAACTTGCGGCCTAGCTTGTATCATAATATGTATCATTCCCGATGATGACATAATTAATGTTGAAATATTGAATCCTGACATGATGGCGTGCATTTCGATACTTGGAGTATGTATTATACTATCTTATCTGAGATTAATCGGTGGACCTTTCGGTTCTAGCTTGTATTCTTATTATATTATTGTTACTGCACCAAGTATTGTACTTGCACTGTTTTCTGAAGCGCCTTCGGTGATGCTAATTGGTCGGTCTAATCAGGAAGCCTTCCCAATTGCGTCGGGGACTGCATGCTAAGCAGTACAACGATTGCAAGGAAAATACTGTAGCGACAATGTAGCGATTTTATGGAAACCAGGCTTAACATGTGTTTTTAAACCCGAATTTAAAATAAAATAAATAAATAAAATACACAGAGGCTTCCGCATCTATCTGAGGTGCCTTGCTCACTATTGAAATCTTCTTTCTGATTACTAAATAAAATAATAATTATATACTTTTATATTTATATCTTTGTTCATATGAACTAGAATCTATTGAATGTCACACTTCGTAGATATTTATTCATTATGAAGAAATGTAAATATTCGCTCTGCAGAGCACTGTACGACACTGAGAATAAAAGCAGTTTAGTTTAGCAATAGTTTAGTTATAAATATATATATAAATACATTATAACATCTATTAGATTGAGTCATTAAAAGGTGCACAGTATTTTTTACTCCACTCCATGTTGATATTATTAAAAAAGAATACAAGGAAGTGTCCATGGTTTTTTTCCTTCTTCCTTTCCTATTATATATATAAGCCACAAAAAAGTGTAATTGCATACTTTGGGATTTGGCTCATACTTGGTTCAATTAGACACTCCAATAAGAACCACTAAGACCAACTCTGCTGATTACTTACTTGTCTCTCTTTTCTATTTTAAAAATGGTTACTTAACTTTTGATTTATTTACTTTGTAATTATTATATTTACAGTATTAACAAGATAATGAATGAAATGAAGATTAAAGAATATTAACAGTACAGCATAACAAACTACAAATACTAAAAATAACAACAGTAAAAGATAGTAATAAAAATATGGTGTGAAGCATACAATTGGAAAGTCCAGTGACTCAAAATTATAATGAATGAGGAAGTTAAAAGCAGGTATTATATTACTTACTTACAATACTTAAAGACAGTGACTTTCTGCTAAAAGTACTTCGTGGGTGGTTATGTTAAAATGTCCTTTTTATTACCCAAAATATCTTTCGTGAGACAGAAGTTTGGATTGACCTGTGTAGTGAGCTTTCTTCTTCTCAATAAACATGGTTTCTTTAAAGAACGCTGTAATTTTGGTTTCATCTATTTTGTCTATTACTAAAAGTTGCAATGAAGGAAGTATTACACCTCAACTTCTGCTAAAGCCTAGAAATAATTTAGTATGGGCTTTTATAAGATTTAGGCAGAGAAGAAGAAGGTTTTTGCTCTATAGTTTTTCTCGAAATTTCCTTAAAATTTTTACTGTCTCTTTTGTTGTCATAAGCTTTTCAGCAATCTTGGCTTCCCCAACAGCTGAATCGTAAATATCAAAGTATTTTCAGTCAACATTTTGCACTTTCGCTTTTCAATGTTTATATTTAATGAACAAGCTGACAGAAAAATCAAAACACAACCAGCGTCATGCTCTGTTGGCTTTTGACCTCATGTCAGGGGTTATACAAAATACGGTATTTTTATAGGCAGCGGAAATGGGGTGTGAAAAATATGGTATCTATTGCAAAGTACCGGAATAATTCCACAAAAAAAATATGGTATATAAAATACGGTATAGTTCTATGAACCCCATTTCTGCTGTAAAAAAAAAACGTATTTTAAACATACCGTATTATACAGCATTTTTTGGGCAGCAGAAACATAGAAATAGATGATGTAAACTTACCTTCTTCAAAACCTTCATGGCAAAGATCCTATTAAGATGAGCACCAGCTATCTTGCGTACCTGGAACACCTACAATCAGAAATAACAATCATGTCATAGATCATGTCAAAGGTGATACAAAGGAGCATTTGTGTATTTTTGTCCTCAAATTGGCCACAATGTTACCACAGAGCACCAACAGACTAGGATAAAGCTGCCATTTTGGACAGCCTATTTCTTTTTTGTGGCTAAACCCCTGGATGGCAGTATTGTGAGTAAAAGCACCTTCCTACCATTTGCTAGGTAGTCCTGTACCACCAGGCCCAAATGTCATTCAGCACAACGGCTACTAGCCACTTTGTATTTTTATAGGATATTATTAGTTCTAAATCTTTCAACTAAATATATTCTAAATTTAGATCTTCTAATTTGCATTTAAATTTATTCCCAAATGGCTCTTTGCAATTACAGATGATACCCAGTATGCTACAATATGGACATCACCAATACAGAACAAGCCAATTTACAAGATCAAAATATTAATAGAATGTATTATACTATAAAATTTAACAATCAGTAAAAATTTATTTATTTATATACTACTTTTTGCATAAATTATTTTACATTTAAATTCTATCCTGATTGTCCTTTAAGATCCAGCTGTAGTGAAATATGAAAAACCAAAATTTTCTTAAATGTCAAATTGCTCAACTTTCTATAAAATTTAGATCAAAACAATTCATTTTTTATAGATCAACAAAATTTTTACTACCGAAATCTTTATCAGTCAATTCTATGTAAACTACCAGACCCCTGTATTTTTTTTGTCCATTAATTTTATAGTTTTTTTGGAAATCCTTAGTTCATCATGTTCTTTATTTTGTTTTTGATTTACAAAAATACATTTTTATTCAATTAAATTTAATATATTATTCTTCATAGACTGCTTTCAAACGTGGTATTTCCAATGTTTCCCTACTTTCCTCTGTTTACTGTCACACTCAAGTTGAACATTTTAGCATATTTTATGCTAATTTAATTTATGTTTTCTCTGGCATCAGAGAGTCACTAGACAGTGATTCAGTTTACTTTTTGGCAATCCTGTCCGGCCAACTGAGTGTTGTTTTTTGCTCTCTGTTACCTTGTGTTTGTCAATTTTAATGTTTTTGGATGAAAAATATATAAATATCATTATTCTCAGTGTATTGTTTGTATTGAAAGTTACCCAACAGAATATACTTTAATTCCTCATAAAAATTCATTTAGAAAATGTAATACTTTAGTTGCAGAAAAGGGTTACACTATGTCTATAAATGAGATTTTATTGTGCATTCTTTGAAATGATAATAAAACATTAAATAAACTTTGGTTAAAAACATATGAACACTGTACAATAAATTTTAAGCAGAGTCTGTTAAACTACCAAAAGGTTATTTCAGATCTCTGAATTACATGGATAGACACAAAAGATAGAAAAAGGCCTGATCTAGCTAACTGGTTCAAAAACTAGGGATTGAGATTCAGTGGCTGAAATGTAAAGTACAGTAATGCTATGAAACACAGAAACAATAAAATACAAAATGCTCAACAAAAACTTGGAAAATTTTGGGAGAAAAATGTGTACGCGCTATTATTCAGATCAACCTGGAGGTCAAACCAGGCCCCCCTCCCCTTCCCACAAAAAAAAACAAAAAAAAACATAAAAATGTGTTTAATTCAAGTCTGATTATAGTTTTTATATGCTGCAATAAGTGAATGCTGGATGGCCACAGATGAATGAATCTGTCTAGGGTCACATTTGATTTGATTTGAATTTATTTGATTCCAATAAACATACATACAGACAAAATACAGTGATAAAAGATGCAGAAACAAGAAAAATATTAAAACAGATAAAAAGCCAGGAGAAAAGTTGATATAATTACAATAAAAGTCAAGAACAAGGAATATGAAAAACAGCAAAAGGATAGCCCACAAAAGATGTTGTAAAACAATCCTATTTCCAGAGGGTCCTTATAAATATAAAATTCTAATAATTACAATATTAATTCTTTAAAACTTTAGGATAAAGATAAATTTAATAAAATATAACGGGGGGAAACGCTTTACCATAATCAAAAGCTTTCCTGTGATAGAACACACATTTTTACAACCTTAATCTAGTTCTTAATCTTAGAAGTGATTTTGGAATGTTCTACCTCAATCAACCACTAATGTTACATCTACTGATGCCTTCAAAACCTCTCTGTCATTTGTATGTAAACAACCAAGATTCTAGCTACAAACTAGGCCATGCAATAAACTACTTTCTCATAAGCTTTCTACTTGGCAGGTCACTTTTTTTGTTAATTTGACAAGGCAAAGGCACAAGGCAAGCTAAAGCACCACCACAATCATGCAATGTGCATCATCACATTATTCATATACTAAACAGTATAATCAATATTTAAATTAATTTGATTATTTCCAACATGATGCATCCTGTACAGTACATGGAAATCTTTAATCATATTTATCGACCATTGAAAGTGGGCCTCTACTCAAAGTTACTGAATACAGACAAAAAGGTGAGGATTCAATCGGTCAAATATTGACTACTGTAGAGTCTCAAGCGAAAGATTATTATGAGTAGAACTAGCACATCCGAAACGTAAATCAATACAAAATTAATCACCTAACAGGAAATAGAATAGTCAGTAATGCTAAGCACTTGTAAAATACTTCTTTCTCCATAAAAGATGAATGTATTGCAAAGCTCCTTCTTTAAGTAAACCACTCTCATTTGTCATGAATTTTTTATTGCAAATCAATGAGTTCCTCGTCATTTACTATGGTACCTTCATTTTAAAATGTCGCACCCAATACATACTGAAAATACTCACCTATTAAATAATGGCATGTAATGTTGCTATTTATCCTAATGACTGAAAAAATGGATACTTAATGCCAATATATGGCATTGTGTATTAGGGCAAATTTACTGCTGGTATGCCTGATTTGACAGATATACTTTTGTCTAAAAATATTATATATAAAAAAAAAACTAAAAAATTTCCTAGAATTTCCTACAGTAGATAACCTAAAAAGGTGTTACGTTATTTATGTAGTTTTAATCTAAACAATTTAATTAAAAAGTGGCTATCGGAGTATGCTCAGAGCGGCCGCGAGGGAAAGCGGCCGCGGGTCGATACGCAGCAATTTGTATGAAGCGCCAAGCGTGCAGTATGCAAAATGTATGTCGGGCAATGAATGGGCATCAGAGTTAGATATTAATACTGTTTTAATCAATTATCAAATTAATGTATATTTTCTTCCATATATAGGGCCTAGCCTATATAAATCGAGACTTAATATTTACTAGGCCTAGGGGCCTATATGGTTTATTTATATTTAGTTAGTTTGTTTATATATTATATCAAATATTATGATTTATAGTAGGCTTATGCCTATTTTCTTACAGAAATGAATGGTACTTTTTAAATCGCTTCTTTAGTTTATTCATGGAACTAGGCCTATATGGTTTATTTATTCGAATTTCTCTAACTTGTGTTCTGTTAGTGAATGAACATCTGTTTGTCATTGCATTTGAAGATGATTGATAATTAATAATAATAATAGTAGTAGTAATAATAATAAATTAATAATAATAATGACAATGTACAGTATCACTAAGTGTAGACCTATGTTTTTCACACTCATCAAATTTTATTACATTACGATATGAATGCTATTGACCAACGCTATACCGTACCGTATCCCAATCAATCGGTATAGCGCTACTACTGGCGTTCCATACATTTTGAGCGCGGCCGCTACGACCCTAATCCCTATGCTCATGCCGAGATGTAGTGCATTAAGATACCGAGAGTTACTTTTAAGGTTAGGGTAAAGCCAAGTCAACCAATCAGCGCATTGGGATTTTGATTACTTCAGCGTAATCATAGCCGCAGCCTTTAATATCTTAAAAATTAAGTCAAAAAAGTCAAATAAAATTTTCACTTCAATAGATTATTTTTAAACTTCAACTTAGTACCTTTGTGTAGTTTTGTCTATTATGCCTAGTAATGATCCTAATTTTTTAGGCATTTTTTCCTGAATGCTCTATAAGAATGATTTTAAAAGATATTACGACCTACTTTCTACTACCATAGAAATGCTACAGCTGCTTGCAACCCTTGCACAATTAGTACCGTACTATTACCGTGAAGCAGATTCATATCATCTAATAATAATTTAACAAATAGTATACTCATTGTTCTGTAAGGCCAACTCACCTTTCCATAGCCACCTTTGCCTAGAACTTTAAGGAGCTGGAAATGTTCAGGACCGATGCGCTCTGTACTGGGATTCACCAATGCTTCGCTTAGGGGAACCGACTCAAACCCCTCAGCCCTGTATAAAAAAAAAAAATTTTTTTAATTCAAAATGTTTAATTTCACTGTACTGTACTTTCCAGACTATTCTTGATTTTTCATAATCAATTTTCAATCACGATTAATGGAATTACGTTATGTTTAATTATTAGAACCATGAAAGTAAGGTAATGTACTTTAATATCAAACCTATCAACTAAACTGTATGTGTTTTAGAATCATTTTGCAAGAGGTAGTAATAATCGTATAGCATTTAATAGTGTAACAAAGAAAAGTAAAAGCAACACGGCAGTAGGTATAGAAAAATATATGGGAAGTATTTATAAAAAAAAATCATAATCACTACATACTACCACCTCATTCACATCAAGTACATTATTAATATTATCACTACTATGTATGTATCCATTCAAAATAACATTGTGTTATATGTTCCAAAGTAGTGACATTTGTATTTTTTTAATGTATTACAGCATTACGCAGAGCCAACTCTTGTACTGTATTGTCCAATGCAATTATTAATGTGATACTTTTTGATACACAAATTTAAAGTTTTTTTCTGTATGACTTTTTGTAGTATATTGACAAATAAAGTTATAATTGTAATAAGTTCATTCTTCTATTTTTGGTTATTTTACAATTTATAAACTTGATGTTGGTACTTACATCTCAATGCCAGAGCTTGAGCTGGCACTCAGAAACTCTTCCTAAAAAAAAAAAATATATATATATATATTAAATTATATCAAAAAATATATATGTTATATATATTAAAAATAATGTTGTGAATATATATAAATATTTACCTGTCAACTGGTGAAAATATGCTGCAGTGAATGACTGTGAAATTAAGGCCTGGTGAGAATATTTTATTAATCTATAAACTGATTATAATTGTGCTATATAAATCCATCTATTATTATTATTATTATTATTATTATTATTATTATTATTATTTATATAATAAAGAAAGAATATTATACATAAACTTAGCATTCTCCGAACAGTGAACAATTCAGGAGTCCCAAGTAGGGAATATGTAGCCATACTGTAATGTTTTTAATTGCACAGAAACCAGCTCAAATTTGCGTGGAAAATCACTAGGAAAATAGGTGCGCAGAATCATAATACATTGTTTATTAAGATTAGGTCAAAGCCCAATTTTCTATAAAATCTGCGAAAATCGGCCTTTTTCTGAAATGCACGGATGGATTTATAGGCCAAATTTTTGTGCGGAGGATATAATCCCTGCACAGGCCGACCTATACAGTCTGGATCCGTAGTATATTCAGTTGGTTTTAATATTATGAAATGTCATACTTTATTTAGTTTTAGCTCAAAGAGCTCATGAATAGGAACAAATGTCTTAATCTGTGATTAATAGAAGGGCAGAAAAGGTAACAATTTAAAAAAAGTATTTATATTTTTTTCAACTAATCGACATCAATGTTTTTAAAGCTCTTGATTCGTGATTTGCTATTTATCTAACGGATCTAACAATGGTAAGCTATTTTGCCAACCATAATTTGCTGTGGAAGCTTCAATATGACAGGACATTTCATCACCATGATTCGTCATATGACAAATTCATATATATCACACAATCAATTCTACCTCCCCTAGGGCCTACTTAATAAAATTCGGCATGGCCGACTCTCTGATCTAAACATCACCAATGTTCACGTGTTGTATCCCAATAAGTATTATATTTCCAACAAATGACAGAATGGGCCTAAGCCTAACTCAGGCACAGAGATGAGCGACCTGACACCACGTCGTTAAGCATCGTTAGACACTACTCAGTAAAGTAAAGTAGTCAGATGCGCTGTGAAGAGCTTAGGCCTAGCCTAGCTAGGAAGGCGATTTCAACTTACATCGGCATCTACGTCGATTGCATCTTCCGCTCGTCCGTCGTCATCTTGATCATTGATCTCTATATCAAATACTCCAGCCATCACTAATTATGTTTAAAACATATCAACACAATCAATCATAACATATGAAAGCACCTTCATAGTAAATTCAGGATAACATTATTGTCCCTCCAATACTTTATGTCGAGATTTCGACACCGGCTGATACCTTTGCTGATATGGATCATGGATGAGACACCAGACACACCGCCGGGTCAACCAACCGTAACAATTTGTGTAGGGGGCGCTAGACATAAAAACTGTACGTTGTTGTTGCTGTACTTGCGTGACATTAGTAATTAGGAGGAGCACTGAAAATATGTAAAACTGAATACGTGGAGAGAAACATATTGCAAATAATATAGTACTAGTAGTACAGTACTTGTTATTGTTCGGGGAAAATATTACAACAAATCTCTACTGTGTAAAACTGATCATTCTTGTTTTTATGAACGGAAAGCTGTGGTCAAACAAGGCGGTACATAGGGTAGGTACAGTACATAGTAGCAGGCTGAGTACCGACGCTTCCTCTACCAAAATCACAAATACCTGGATTCACCGGTACAAAGATAGAACTACTTAGGCTATGCCATAAAAAGGAGACTTTTACTTGTCTGTATTTAAATCAACACTTTCCTGTATTAATCATAAGAACTTGACAAGTACAGATAGATCCTGCCAAGTGTCTACGTAGAAGTAGGTTATAACATGGGTTTGTTTACTTTTAATTCTATTATTTACTGTGACAACTGGGTGGCAATATTCATATATATATATATACAGACTTTTATTTTTTTTATAATTTTTATAATTTTTTTATTTATTTATTTATTTTTTATAATTCAGTCCACATTTTATATTGGTTCATTGGAATTAAATAACTTAAAAATTTTTTTCTAGATTTTACCACCTATTAATTTTAATGTCTTTATACAGTAGTAATGTTATCTCTGCAGAATGAATTTTATATATTTTTGTAGAACGGTAATGAGTGCATTTCTACGTAATGGCGGTGTTGACCGTAAGGAGTATGTATATCAACCACTGCAACCTTCTGAGGAGATCATTGAGCTTCATGAAATCGATGATGATTTGTTTAATACTGACAAGAATAACCTACAGATGAAAGATGAAACCAATGAACCTGAAGGTACAATTATTGTAAAATGTGAATTTTAATGTAAATCCAGAAGGAAAGAGATGTCAGTTCTGTGTAATAAAACAATGTAATACATTATATCTGTGAGCACTAGAAAATAAAATTTAAACTGGCCCTTGATGAGATTATATCTGTCTTTTGAGACCAAAATTGATAAATTTACATAAGAATATAATAATAATAATAATAATAATAATAATAATAATAATAATAATAATTATTACAACAAAACA